TTCGGAATTGGCCTAACTAGCTCATGACGATTCCGGAAAAACGCATAGCCTAGAGAGCAAAGCATGTGATGTACTCGAAGAGAAGATAAATGATGATATTTTTTGAAAAATTGGTCTTCCAGATATAATATGATGGCAAAAATGTCAGCTTGAAGTGAAATTAGTTTCTAAAGCAGTGCTAATATAGAAGAAATATTGTTTGTTCTTCGCATGGATAATTCTGCATAAATTTCTAAGCTAAACTTCACGTTGGCCCTTTCGTGTCACATACACTATTATGATACTCAAATAACAACATTTCCCCATAAAAAGTTCCAAAGTCTCTTCATCTGGGCATGTGTAAACTCTATGATACCATGTCCAGCTGCTTGGACACAAACACCAGTTATACTAATTCGAATATCAAAATGAAAATGGTTGTAATGCCTAAATAACAAAATCATAAAAATCGTATACGTGGCATCGACTAAATGAAGCCGACTATTTGTTTCCCTCTATAGAACTTTCGTGTCGAAAACAACCGGGAATATATCTAAAATTGATTCTGAGATCCTCAATTGGCAGATGGGCCCTCGGGGCGAGAACAATTCAACGCTTCTAACAGAGTCATGCCGTTGACCTTTGCGCTGGTCCGAATCCCAATTATTGGTGTAAGCGTTTCCGGCCATAATCTCTTAAAGCCAGCTACATTTACGAATGTCTCTTCTCAAGTTAGCCTACGAACTTCTACGCTTTATCTGTTTACCCCTAACGACTAGATAAAGCATGACATTTCATTATGGGTGAGCAAACTTTCTTGAGAGAGATAGACTTTAACATGCTAATAAGGACAGATTGAATTTGAGTTAAGAAAGCTAAGGGTGAGGTATTATAATAATTTTACGTCTTTATTTCTCTACAATTATGTTCATCAAAAATTTATAATTTCTTCGCAGTACCTTAGCGAATCGTCTAACAAGGTTTCCGATGTCGTTGAAAGCATGCCATCTATATTTTCTTATGAATAAAATCTTTTAGAATGAAGTATTACATAAACATATAATGGCTATAATCAGACCCACGTAGGTAACCTGGGTGCTACAGCTTTGACATTTGATTCATATTAAAGGTTTATATTGTTGACATTTTACAAAAATAATAATTTGTCGAGGAAACATCTCATGAGTATGGAGGATGACAGGGCACCTACTTCAATTAAGACGTTTGCATGTTTACGACTGTGGTTCTTGCATTCTAAAATCGGACGTTGTTGTACCATAGGGGTGGTTTAATTTGAATGTTAGTTCTTAGTTTGTTCGTCATGTTCTCCCTAACCGTAGTCGAATCAGGGCCTACGGCATGGCACTGGAAAACACCTACACTAGTCCATCAAGTAGACATCGTAGACCTCAGTCGCTATCCACTTGCTTTATATACGTATAGGGTTACAAGAATATAAGATTATATCCTCGTTGTTTATTTACGTGAGTTTATTGATGTGACCGTCGTTGATCATCATCTTATATCCTTTTTTTTTTACTAAAGAGAACCAGTGTTCCACGTGTTCTTTGGTTTTGCCGTTCAAAATCGGTGGCGCCCATTTGTCCGGTATATTTAATTTAGTAATTCCATCAAGACGAACAGGTACCAGATTTCTCAATACCCTGATTCTGAGCGCCTACAACCGTACACCTTCAGGTGGGCCGGCGTCCACCGCATCTCTCATCTATGTATCTTGTATTTTATCACTTTCCTTTGTGCGAGGATTCCGCAAAACCTAGTTTCAAAATCAAACTTTTCTTGCAGAAATCCTTGCACACAACTCCTTCCAGTACTTCCCATCCTTTGTCGAATACAAGCTTTCTACTTTATAATGATGTAGGCCGTTGAACTGTCCAACTTTGTATGGCGAGTAGCGATATCCGAATGGACGGTCCCAGATTCGAAGAAGTACGAGCGAATTTCGAAAATCAAAAAAAAAATACGAAGCGTAGCGTCGCTATAAATTAGTGCCGCTTTGAAATTAGAGACGCATTTTATACTCAACGACCTAGCGATATAAACTTATAGATTGACCGTACAAAATGGCACTAAATATTTGATTTAACTAAGAGTTCCTGCTGGCTAAATGAACATTACACAGAAGTGAGTAATATCTGTATTTTAAGTTTTACGTCCAGGCATTCCGTCGGACAGCTCCGAGTACGAAACGAACCGTGTGTCCAGGATTCGAACCCAGACCACAGCGTATTCCCAAAATTACTAATGAACCGGAATGTACGGCAACTTAACCTTATCAAGGTTAAGAAAGATGATGGTCGGTGGTACTGCCAGAACGCCTTATAAAAAGGGTTCAAGCAACAAAACGACATTAGATCTAATTTAAGATAGCGCTTGGTGGAGATCTGCATTTCGCTTAGTTAACTTCGCTTGTATATGAATAGGTTTAAAATTGATTTCCATAGTTTCCATTGCTCGAAACATTCATTAAGACGTTTATTTTAAGCGAGACCGTGATCTACGGGGTTGCAAATTCCAGATCTTCCGCCTAACGATAGAGATTAACGATGAAAAACAACGGTATATTTCAACATCTGTGAGTTCCCGCTAAATCTTTTTGTAGAACTGGTGGTCCACAATGGAATATAGGGTATTCGACTGTTAAGAATAGTTGCAGATGTTGCATGATCTGGGTAAGAGCCCTATTGTTTTTCCATAGTGCTTCGTACGCAAAAATATGTATAGTAGAAACGCTAGCCGACTATCATGTGCTGACTAATGAAGAAATGATTTAAGCCAATTCATAGGAAGCTGTGCGCGTTTCCGCTAAGTTGACCCAATGTAGTTAGTTTCTCATTGACGTTATGATATGCTTATTCTATTGTTGGGTCGCTGCAGTTACTTCCCAGTAAAATTTTCCTATCCGACGTAAACAATCAGTAGAGGCTGTGCTGGACGCTAATACAGCAGAGTCTTTTAGTAGTAGTATTAGATGTTTAACTAATTTGATTGTTGCCAGTTTGTACGTGAGGCTGAAACAGCTTTCCAATTGCCAGCATCCAGGCTGATTGACAATATAGCAATGTTTCCGTTCGACTGCCTGCCATTGCTGGTATCGTTGTTGACTTAGTCGCGTATTTCTATTTCCGTATCGACGGGCTATTATTGACTTTACGTCACGACGTTCACACAATTACGAAACTCGTTCAAAACTTTTACTTGCATTAGCCCTATAGGCATTGATTGCTGTTTGTTTCGTGCCGGTGATGTCTGGAAAAATACCTCTATCGACTGAACTGCTTCTAGGAGATGACTGACAATCCATCACTTTCAAGTGACTGTCAATCTACGAACGTAACAGAACAACATTGAGGAGTGCGGGCTGATGCCCCCAAAGGGTTAGTTTAACGGTACACATCTGTTCGTAACAACAACGTAATCACTGTGGTAGATTGTCGAGCTATCTAAGTAGTAGATGCACTGTGAACGTTGAGCTTTTTCCTTCGTTGTTTTAGAAGGTGTACGGTAGAACAGGATCGTGTAGACACCTGGAACTCTCATGTGTAGCTTCGTACGATGTCGACATCCGGTAAGTCCAGTGTGACAACCATTGCATTTACTCGTCCTGTTCTTCGTATGTCTCATATTTATGTCACTTCTGGCAACACTTAATTGTCAAGATTTTCCGGCTACATAAATTTCATATGTTATAAAATTTTCCTGTTGATAGGAATAGGCAGGGAACTCAACTTAAAGACTAACTAAGATTCAATCTGGCCCCCTCAAGTACAGGCAACGGAAACAACAGGTCTAACAATCATTCTACAAACCGACCCTAGTGAAATTACTACCCCACTCGCGCGATAACAAAGCGATGACACACTGTCAAATACCTAGCTACACGTGGGTTGATTGCAGCTGAATGAATTGTAAAGAGAAAAAAAAAAGCATTTACCAGTTACGTCGTTCCGATTGCTTTCCTACGATGGGGTAGCTGTACCCCGGTTTCTAATGAAATCAGAACCTGGTTACGGACCCTCAAGCTGAAGATTCCCTAGGAAGCGGCCTGTTTAAAATACACGTTTCTTTAATGTAAAGAAACATGGATCATGCTTTGAAAGAACGTTATCTCAAACTCTTATATGCTAACGCTATCATATATAAATGAAGTGTGTTCCTAGGGTTAATAATACCTGGCTAAAATCAATGCCAGGGACTATTAAAACCAACGCATCCGCCTTTTTTTAAAGCTGATATATCGTTTTTGTTGTACCGATGCGATATTTTACAAGTTACGTAACTGTATATTGTAGTATATAGAGTAGATGGCGCATTCGCTGCATACGATAATTTAGTTAGGGCCGCAGGTAAGGCATAAGGTAAGTATAAGGGCACAATGCACTGCCAGGCAATCACTTAGCTATTGATAATGCTTTGCCGAATCCAGACAGCAGTGTAACACATATAAATGCTATGCCAAAATCGTAACATTTCTTTTTTTGCCCCCATTTCGCGTTATTCTCTATTCAACCGAATAAAAACAAACAGAAGTAATATGCTCGACGATGATTTCAGTAAGATCCATGCAAGCCACGACTAATGCCAGACAATATAATAAAAGAATCCATCATTCTCTGTTATGTAACGTCTCGTTCACATGTTAAGAAACTACCATTCCATATAGCGCTATGTCGTTGGAGATCGGTGATTTCCAGTAGGACGTACGGAATTAAATGATGTGTGTTAGAGAGGAAATATCCATCCTGATATTTGACTGCTACTCTATATTAGTTTATAAACCATCAGGATTTTCCCTATGCACGGTAGGAAAGTACTTAGTTCCCTGGAAGCCCTCGTATCTTATGTACCATGGAATGACTGAATTTCTCTAATTTTTCCAACATAGGCTGTACATAGAATCGCGTGCTCATAAGTATGCTATTGAGACCTCTATTCCAATATCCTTGTGCAAACGAATGTTCAAATTTTTGAATAGTCAAATTGTTTTTATGCAGAGACAACGCGGTTGAGGTCTATTTGCCTATATTTTAAAAGAAAAATACCAACAAAAGCATCAGAATTTATGGCTCCTCAAGCATTTTGATATCATAAAGAGCGTCGATATGAGCTAACCGCTAGCTAAATTAATTCTGATTGGGTGTGATCTGCGCCAACGAAATCTAAGCTTTGTCCTATTTTTGAGGTTAATATATATAGCCCTACTATAAGACCAGCACATCGTAAGATGTGACTCATTGTCACTACAGTGACCATCAGCACGGCCAATGGGAGAAATCAGTTAAAAACAAGCCTGTATGAACATTTATATTAGTGTACATTAACATGCGATCTGCCAGTTTCAATATTGTTTAATAGAGTTGGAATATTGTTGTCGAAATTTTCTCAACGAAGTCTTCTTTGGCGAGAACCGCCTGATTTCGGCCAAATTTTGACCCCTCAGATGCTGCATATCTTCATTTTACTGGCATTCGCCGTCGCGCCCTTGACTCAGCCTGGCCTGACAGTGGTCTCCGGTGAGTACAGCTCCAACCCGTTACGTGTTGAACAGACAGGAAGCCAATATCGGCAGCCTCGACGCAGCCGACGCTCCGCAAGTGATGCTTCGCATTATTTAGGCCACGGGCGTCCTCCAAAATTTTCCGTGCATTTTGATCAAGAGGAATTGATCTCGGACGGCTTCGCAAAACGCCGACTAGAAGCCCTCAAAGACTTAGTGAGCCTTCAGTTTCGTTCGCAGATTATCGAAGACAATAAACCGCGGGCCGTTGTCAGAAAAAAGGCGCCACTATTTCATCGCAATAAGCACAGCGAATTAAAAGATTTTCACAATTACGAACAAGATTTTGACCTTTCCTACACGACCGACTACAAAGATCTGACTGCTGAGGGACCAGAGGATGCGTCAGATGGTGGCGTTGCGCAAGGGGAAAACTCTCAGGTAGACTAGAGCGGGAAATCTGTTGTTCTAAAGTTTTTTTTCCACTGCTAGTCACCTCTTACGGTTATAGACGTGAACAACACAACCCTATACGAAGCTCGTAACAATTTTGCTTCCACAGATCACGCATACCCTAGTAAGGCATTTCCGTAAAAGTGCATTAACTATAATGCCGTGAAGTTTTAAGTAAATTTTAGTACAGTGGAATTAACTTGTTTAGACCACTCTAACAATGGATGCTTAGACTATGTATTCATTGAGATCGGACAAAGGACTAACGCGATTAGCGCAGCTTATTACTGTTTTCCCGTAGTTGTCATGCTATGTTAGGATACATCAGAAAAGACACTAGACCCACGTGATTAGTAGCTCCATATATCACTTCCTTTATCTTTTTAATTTAACATTAAAATAGATACACACATAAACCATGTGACGAAATTGCCTCCTTGCTTCAGCCCCATTTAAAAACGATCAGATTGGGCTTTTTGGAAGCGTTTAAGGCTACCATTTTTTGATATCCAGGCAGTATTAAATCGCTTTCTCCTAGATTGGTAAACCTAATAGTAATACCACAACAATATTAACAAAATAAGTCTGAATTTTAGCATTGTTCACTGATACGTTTTTTTGGCCTGTTTTTACTATTAGTTCTTTTAAAAACTAACATACCTGGTCGTGCCTACGCAATCCTAATAACTGATTCAGTGACGGAATATCTGTCGCTTCCTTATTTCAGATCAGAGACACGTTCATTATATTTAGAAGTTAATTTAAAATTACAACATAGGATCTCTTGTACTTCGACAAATTTAGGACAGCTAGTACGAAAATCCATACTGTTTTTCCATACGCTAATAATGTTCTTCTTATTTTCGATCCGATACACACTTCGCAGAATAATATTCCTGAAAAACTCGCAATAATACTTCAAACTGCGGCGAACACCAGATGGAGGCCACGGATTTTCCACTCTATACGTACAGCGAGCAGCACATCGAAGCCAGAGACTCTGGTATCTACTCGAGGCTCTAAAAACGAGTTGAAACAAACTCCTACTACTGAAGTCGAATCGTTAATACTTGGCAGTTCTAGCGAACATTTTGGCGACAAATCTTCTAATCTCAGTATCCTTTTAAAACAATTATCGTCAGGTGCAAATTCACCTTTGACAACTTGGTCGAAGAAGGGTCGACTTCGAAGCAATGATTCGCAGGACACAAATCACAGCAGGCCGCAGTTTGTTCTCTATGCTCCAACAACAAATGGTTCAGCTAAAACGCAGGACGAACCGCAAACTCCTAACGATAACGTATTTCCTATCCTCGGCGCGATCCTGAAGATCGGTGCTCTGCCTTCGGGAACGCAACAGGCTATAGGATGGTATCTGATTCATGCGAGCTATATAGATATTGTCGCTCTGAAGAACGATCGCGGCAAGGTGAGTGTCTTTTCCACTTTTCACGATACCGTTTGATAATCCTTGTCTGTCAGAATCGTCAGTTTTCTACTAGTAGTAAAACGTTTGCTCAGTTTTTGTTCTACGATTGATAATGGTGCACGTATCTTCCGTCCGTTGTGTACGCAGGTGGTTTGGATGGATCTACAGGTGTCATACGAAGATCCCGAGAGACCAAAAAACCAAGCGAGCAGACCTTTAAAGATTGCTTTCGATAAAAGGGTTTGATACATGACAATTATTACTAGTAGTATTTTTGCTGCAAATAATCATCAGGGCAATTCTTGCTCATATGATAACGAAAATATCTGTTTATTTGCGCTTTGAATAGGAACCGAGTGTTTATGCAAACTAAGCAAACATTAGAGGATCATTTGCGAAAATAATGACAATCATCTGTGAGTTTTTGGCGTTTCGATCACGTTTATTTGTTGTCTAATGCGTTTGTTGGTTATGGCCTTTGTTCGGAATACAGGTACTATTACCAATAACCCTTGCGATGCTCCCAATCGGGTTAATCTGGATTGGACGTTATATAGAACTAATGGGATGGTGGAATGCCCCCTGATGAGATAGAAGGCGAGCATAGTCGGACCTAAAAAGCAATTTCTTTACGCTGTTCTTACTCAGCGAACGGTGTACGGAAACTCAGCCATCAATTAGTTGAATTGATATCCAATAAATTTCAGTTTATTATAGGCTTCCCCGCTGTCTGTTTATTATGTGTTCTAAAAAACTTCACTCTAAGAACCAACGTTGTTATGCCTCGTATGCACAACAATAACAGCTCCAACACATATAAAATTTAGTGTTGTCAACATGACACATATCGACGTTTCGAATCAGAATGCTCCATGTAACCAATGAGCTTTGCTGCCGTTTTAACGTACAATTTTGGATACATTGTAGTGAAAGTCGCTGATAGCGTTTCAATAGCAAAAAAAATGAACACGATCGGTCCCATTCCGCAATTACGGCCAGCATTATGCAGTAACGTTTACGGAACGCCCAGAAGGGCATCGCTGCAAAAAAATTTAAGTACTAAGCATTTCGCTTTCCAGTCGCTCGGGATTAATCAATACCGGGATGCTACAACGAAATTATTATTCGTGCTAATCCAGAGACTAAATTTATACAACTGCCATTCGGGTGAAAAGGTGAACGCCAAGCGAGCATGACTACCCCTCACGCGAAAAACGTTGAGGTTGGTATCGAGTTATCACTACGATTCGCACCCATGCAGGTTCGCACCCCGTGGGGGTTACCTCCCATGTATTGGGTAGTTGAACCTTATTTTTACGCTTTTATTACAGAGATTTAATATACCAATTTCACAATGTGTTCATCGAAGAACAACGAACTTGTCTGCCATTGTCCCTTTGCCCACATTGAAAGCTACACTATTTCCATATCTATTTGTTGACTTTGTCGAACCTACCGTTATTCATTTCTTTTGCAACGCTTCATATAGCGACAAGGTCGTCGCTCACCGCCTCGCAAAATATAGAATAGTCGCACGTGGCGATCACAACGCTGGAAACATGTCGATAGTAATAAGTTCGCTGCTTCGGACAGAAGAGACAAAGAAAAGGGCAAGTACAAGCGAGGCATTGCTGATCCTGCTAATCCTTCGTTCGTTAACTTGTGTGGGTTCCTCTTTGCTCGAGCTGCTTTGTCTGGAGGCGAGGTTTGCCCCACCGTCGGCGTAGGTTTGCTGCGGTAGCAGTGAAGCGTCGCCAACGTTGCAGGAGTCAATAGAATGCGATAGAACGAGTTACGTGCGTTCTGAGCGCGTCCAGAACTCCAGTGGGGGACGCGACGCAGGCAAAGTCAGTGTAGGCCGCAAATGATACACGTTGTCTGCGGTCTTTGTCGTGGCGTGTCGCCTGATTTTGCTCTAGCTTGAGATGAAGTAACGACAAAAACAGCGGCACCCCGTTTGTGAATGTAAACCGAATTGAGCTGAGAATTATTGTCTGTCAAAAAATACGGCGGTAAAGATCAAGCTGAAGTATGTTCTAGGAAAGGAAAAAGTTCTTCAGTATAGAAGAATGGCGCTAGTATTACCGTTCGTTTGTGATATTCTACTGAATGTGCTCATGTAAAAATAAACGATATTTGGTTCTACATTCGGTATTGTAGAGCAAAAATGATTCAAGCACAATGCATGCTATAAGGACATTTCAGCATAATGGAAGGCTTCTATGTTAGCTGGAATAAGTTAAATCGCAGGTCGTCGTTATGATATGTATCGTATGTAAATATGTACTCGTATCGTATCATTTAATCAGAGTAACATGTTCAACCGAGAGGTATAGCGTCGTCAACGGACCCGTGCCCTCCTATTTTGATGTTCTTGCCGCTTGCCTCAATTCAAAATGGAATTTCCAATTGGAGCAAGCTTAATAGAGATTCATCCTCAGAAAAATTCTCCTTAGCTTAGCTCAGTAGTTACATGTTTGATTTGAATGAACAGATCCGAAAACATTTTATCATATCATAGCATAAATAACGAATTTAGAAATTTCGGTTTAGTTAGGGAGTAATGCTGTCAGTTGTCGTCCTGACCGCACGATTTCCATCCAACTCAGCCGCAAATTACTATCACTCCCCGATCTCGTTGAAACACGCACTTCCGCTATGCAGCTCCTTAAAACGAGCTGCGGTTGGACATTTTGTCGAATTATTTACTGCTAAATAGCTTTACTCTGCCAATTTTCTCAGTAAAAAAAAATAAAACAAAAAAAAACTAATTTAAAAAAAAGACACGATAATTATGACCTGACCGGACTTCGATCTTTCCGTTGAACTTTCGCTCTCTACCGGTAACCTCTATTTTTAATACTTCACTGTCGAGCTGAGTATAAAAAGGCAACGTCTCCAAGTAAAATATCTCGGAGTGGAGCTTCGTAAGTTATGACTGACATACTCGTGTCTATTGAAGTGACGTTTGAAGATATGCCGTCATAGCTGCAGCGTGATTCCTGCAGGTATGACGGCAGTAGGTGTTCGCGCTCTGCCTATTTGGACATAGCTTAGTATTACGTTTTTTCATACGGATTGATCTAAAAATTACATATGGGTTGCAATTATACTCACATAGATAGTAGTATAGATCGTTGCTTCGGTTAGATGGACTATAAAATGGCGTCTGTGATACTAGTTGAAAAAACCGAGATGTCCAACGTTTGTTAATTGGACTGTTTGTTCGAGATAAGGCAATTTTGAATACTAACATCAGGCCAAAACACTAAAAACAAACCGACCCGGGTGTCTGCGCGTGAAAAGAACGACATTAATCTTACAGATACCTTTCGCTATCATGATTATTATTAAATATGGATTTTTGCAGAAGGACCAGACTGAGATCGGTGCCAGCATTAAACGGCTTGCCTGAGACTCGTCCAGCCCGGACAAAGATTATTTTTGTCACTTAACGTAAATTATTTATTTTTTAAAACACGAAATAGAAGTGATAAAAACACCATCGTGCCCCTAATCAGTAAGATTTATGCGTAACCAAGCCTCAAACGATTTGCGTTGTTTAAGCCAGACTTGTACTGTGTGTAAGTCATCGGGGTCGAATCTGCTCTCTGAAAATGTAGTTGTTACATTTCGCACACCATCAAAATCTTTTCTCAATAGAGCCATATTTAAATAAAGATCAATCAGATAACTTATGAATAGAGGTTAATGTAATAACGAGAAGTACAAATTAACGCCCATGCGGCTACAATTCTTAAATCGACAATCATAATTTGACTCAATATAACTTATTTCTATATCATTGAATTTTTCTATTCCTATTTTAAATGCAGCTCACACAGCCAGGTGGCGCTGGTATTTTGGGCAGTTTGGCCATTTACGGTGGAAAGGGCAATTAAAAAGAAACAGGCGGCAGACGCCAACATTGGGGAAAGGAGTTCCTAAAATATTCCCGAAGCGCCAAATCGGCAGCGCGCGATCAGCCACTTAGTAACCAAATGGCCCTGCGTGCAACTTCACGGCTCGGCTGTAACTATCGGCCCGATCTGTCAGTCCAACGAAGACACAATCAGACCCGGATAGATGCCGATAATCGTTCGAGGATGTTCGCAGACCTCAACGTTTGATTAGGTTCAGCTAAGACGGTTTTCCGCAGTGTGACCATAAAAGGTACCACATCTTGACCATGTAACTGAATCGGAATTATACAAAAGTAATTGAATTGAGTTATTCTGTCAACGTGTAGCTGTGCTTAATAAAAGGCCAAACCTAACTGTGCAACATAAGGCGTCCGGAACTTAAGTAAGAAGCTAGAACGAACTTATATGGTGAAACAATCGACATTTTCAACAACAGTTATAATTAACGAAGTGATAAGAATGCGCGAATTAATGTAAAAAAGCAAAACGCAGTTTTGAGAAAACTTAAGAACCTGTTTAATAAAGCCGTATTGACGGCTCTGCACGTTCCTCAAGCCTGAAGCGTAGACTATTCCGTGTTTCAATTACGCTGGAAATGCATTTCTCTTGGAGTCGTCTATGGAGCGGAGCCGCAGGCTCTATTTTCGGTGGTAAGTTACGGAACAAATGATAATAAGATCTAATGTTAACTTTATTATACGACTGCTACGGGATGAACGAAGGTATACGTAAGCATCAAGAACACGGTTAACATCACTGCTGCCGTTCAATTATGTCAATGCTGACGACATTGATCCATTGTAACCTCTCATGAGTAATAAAGCGAAAATAAGTAATGTAAAATTAGGCGATTTTTTTCTATGTAAATCCTGCCAAGTTGATAATCATGTTAATTATTCAAGCTGTTAGTAACAAGAGTGAGTTTCAGTACACTCTACCTCGGCGTAAAGCGAGCTGCAAATGGTAGGATCGAGTAAACGCTGTAATCATTGTGACTTAGACACTCTCGTGAAATACCTGTGTAGTTGAGTCTTTTCAGTGTTATCCTGTCTACAAAAATCACCCATACCGATCGAGTTTATGCGTCCATCGATTTATTTATCCATACACTGACAAGCTATAAACGACGGTATAAATGAGAGCTGTGAAGGTTACAAGACTAAACATAATTTATTATATATTGAAAGGATAAAAAGGATGGTCTTCATGATGGGCTGTTATAACATGTTGGGGATACGTGGTGGTCTAGGTTCGAATCCAGGCTTAAACACTGGAAGGCAGCGTTGAAGGCAGGGCTTTGTCTTGTGCTGAAAGGCAGCCTCCTAAAGCAATGTTTAGATGCAGTATCGGATGTGAAACTCAAACTATGTAGTTCTGTATTGCAAGGATGCAAATTATAGAAATTAATTAATAGTTGCGTATTGTAGAAAAACGGACTAAATATCACATTAGCAATTATTGATATTCACAGAAGAACTAAACAGTACGTTGAATTTCTACTTCTTCCTTTTATTATAAGAAATCAGCTACCAAACGATTGATCCAGATTTTTGTTGGCTTCATTTTTACAGCAACAAAAACAACAATAAGGCGTTCAGCTTGTGCTTTTTGATTCAGGTCGTGCACGACGTATACCGACGAAGGTTCTTCGATAAGGGCAAATCCCACTTCAATGCAGGTTGTGCCAATAAGTTAATGAAACAACGAAAAATTCGTCGTATCCTTCGATTTGTACATATATAATTTCGACTGATACGCTGACCTTTACGCGTCTATCTGTTTTTTTTAGCACAATATAAAGATTCTGTAGAGAAGCGCCGTTATTGTGATCTTAAAGGTGGACGCTGTCAACAAACGTCGCGTGTGTCCTGTTTTTTTAGCGCTTAGAACATCCGTTTCCTGAGGTTAAAAAAGCCTTCGTGCGTGGCTATGCTCCATAGAAACTTGGGTTTTTTTTAAAGTGACCGTGGAGAGGGGTACGCGTTTCAATTCGCATTACTTTTTTTCCTTTTCCAAAACAAACGATAATAATTATATGTCGAATCTCGTTTTAAGTATTCTTCGGCTCTACAAAAAGATGGCTTCTACCACATTTCAGAATTGAAGAAGGTTGATACTGGCGGTATAGCCGCCACGACAGGATGTGACGGGACTTGAGGCAGCGACACCTAGTTTCCTTTAACTAAAGATTTGGCCGTCCGTGCTATCGCGCCAATTTCAAAAATAGTAAAGCGGTTAGCAAGCACGCTCTTTGCAAAGGCATTGCATTCATGTAGTTTACGGAAGTGTATGTTCCTATGTACTCACGTTAGCCAACAAACATCAACGAGCTTACAGAGTCCGTTGGACTATCTCAGCTAATACGTGATGTGTGCAGTTCGGAACGCTGTCGCATGGGCCCAATTTACTGTGTTCGCCCGAGTCATCGTGTTCAAAGCCTCAGACAACTACGCCATATCAAGGCTTCCTTCGTGCCTACGATATTAATAACAAATAATGTTTTGATTATTATCATTATTCGAATTCTAGTGTAGCTTTGTTTCCTTGTAACCTTTCAAAGCAAATGAATCGCGAATATATTTAGTTTTTTCTCAAGATCTCAGGCACAACGCATCGATTTCAGGAAGAAAGTTCTTTGACCTAACTGATCAATAAGTATGCCCATTCGAACTAAACGATGAGTGCTGTTTGTGTCTACACCTGCCTGCCTGCCTATCGTTGTTGCAGCATGGCTGACATCCTGCGGGAGCTCGGCTGTAGGAGCCAACGTGACCGTAACGCATCGTGTGGCGCTAATCTTTATTAGCAATCTGCTTTTTGCTGGTCGACAAAGCATTTTCCCGCGATACCTCTCAAAGCGTTTCCCGTTGGTGACCTGATCCCGTTTCCGGTAACCAACAATTCAAAATTCGAACTCAATGTCATCGCCATCACCAGTAACGTAACAGCGTCGACTGCCGGTTCTAATCGTTTGTGCAGGGCCCCGAAACTGTGTTAACTGTTTGTGACCAATGAAGGGTAGCCGCTAGCCTACTATACTGCCGCTATCTGTATCAAAACATATATATCCATATTTATTATAATAATAATAATGTTAATAGTATTAGTAACACAACTGATAGCCTTCTGCTAGCGCTAGTGCCAAAATAGGCCATAACCGAGACACCGTTAGCAGATTATATAGATTTTAGAATATCGAATGCAAAACATACATACGCATATATACACATATGAGTGATGTCGACGGATGCAGGAGTGGACTGACTTCCTGTTTGTTGCTGATTTACACATCGACCTTATTGTCTATTACTATATGATCCTCAAAGATATTTCTCTTAATATAATAATGTTGATTATTAAAAACACTGTAGAAAACAGATCTCGTACTAAGCTATTAACACATGTGTATATCCGTGTTCAAGACTCGGCACGACAAGCATGAAGTGTTACGGAGATTAAAACAGAAGATAAGCACCGAAGATTGGCGCGTGCTTCAACCCGATACTTTAGTTCAATAACGCAATATAACGATGGAAGTGTGTAAGACAATGGCACCTAATTCACTTATAGCATACGTGTAGTTTTCTTGATATTCGATTATTTAGGCACTTACAGAGCTTTTTGCGAATAAAAATCATATAATTTTGTTATTGGCAATAAAACCGTAGACTTCAGGTAGTGCTACCTAATGAAGAGAAAATCTGGGCTTAGGATAATTAGAAATGTGGGCTTAATTACCCGTTAGAGGTTTACGCTCTCACAAGACCTGTTATGTTCTCCATTTCCTTATTTGATCTCGTCACGGGTATCTTCTATGCATCGGACATCGAGCATTTAATATGGTATGATTTTTGCAATATCCATGATTAAAATAAGTTTTGAACTCGATCCTTTACCTTGAGTACTAATATAGAGAGTTGTCTTATATTTAGGCTAGATTTAGATTTTCTTTAGGCTAGAAATATTGTTAGTAAGGCTGACTATTTTTCTTTCATTTTAAGGTTTTCATTTGTCCTGCCTTAGATTTTGATTTACACATTATTGAAAATGCATGTATGACCAATTCTATGGGGAGTTCAGCATTCTGTTATCTTGTTAAGGAAGGCGACTCCTGTCTGACGCTGTGTAGAAGTCTTTACAGGTTTTATATTTAACACTCATATGGTTTCCAAATGTAAACACTGGTTAAAAATGTGGCGCTTTTGTGTAAAAATCACTCGATGAAGCCCAGAATAGACTTGAATAAGGGGTTAGTGTATGAAGTAGCTACTCGATGAAAGCACAGAATTCTGTTTTCAGGTTTATAGATAAATGAAGCCTCATATATGGCATAAACTGGTAGATATGTATGTGGCCCTACTATAGGTACGTTTTTGAGGTTGTTGACACTGAGGGAACGAATAACCTTTTGTCCTGAAACATCAACTAAAAAGAATCGAGATGTATATATGGTTCTTGCAGCCCTATCCATTTTGCTTTGTGAGTTGTATTTGTCTTGTATTATTAGATTAGATAGCAGAGGAAAAGAAAAAAATGATCATATCGTCAAGGCGACTACCAAAAGGCTATACAATATTTGGGCGTAGCCTTAATTCAAAAACATTCTTTCAAAAAACATTCAAAAACAAACTTTTCCGTTGCTTTCCTTTTATTAATTTTAACTAATTTTCCCTTGACAGCACTACAGTTCATATAATATCCTCACTATGCTAAATATCGTATCTTTAATGTAAGATCTGGCTCATTTAGAAGATGGCCGTTTTGCGAAAACCTGCTAAATACTGCGCCTTCGACTTCTATTGAAACTGGCATTTCCCAATTCAGCCAAACGTTATTCTGATACTTAGTATTGGATTCTTTAGAAGTTGCGTCTAGATTACTGCGATATCAATAGCCCCACATAGAAAAAAAACTCAGAAGGTCCGTTAATCAAAAAATTATGACGAAAGTTAATCTCGATTCATACTGACATCCAAGCGTGGTCTAGCTTTTCACTTATTTTTTTTTTGCAAACATTATATATTTTTATCTTGTTAGCGCTTGAAACAATAACGACAGCCGAGTTCGAACATACTAGCGCACAAAGTGTAATAGAATGGGGTTCTTTTTCAAAACTCCTAAAAAACATGCACAAAAATCGCACCTTAACGGCGTCGAAATTACAAAGAAAACTGTTTTTCTAATAAAAGAAAATATGAAATTTCTTGAATACGACGCGTGGATAGTACGCTCTTACGTGCCGGCCCCTTTGACTGTGACTATTGAACTCGACGTAGCTAGCATTTCCTCGCGGATAATTATTTAAATCGACTTTTCCCGTGCCAATACAAAGACCGCTCGTAATCTTCTGTTGAAGGTAGCAATACTTCGTTACAAAGCCTTACTGTTCTCAAAGATTATTTCTAGTCAGCTTTACTATTGAACGCTCTTTTTATATTTATATTTTCTGCTTTGACAATTAGTATTTGTCGCCTTGTAGTGTTTCTCTTTATTTACTTAATATACACGACTCGAACACTATTTGAAGTCAATGTTTCATTAAACATTGACTTCAAATAGTGTTCGAGTAGTAAAATGCGCCATATTGCGCATCTACGCCTTTTTACAACAACATAAGTTTCTCAACTAGGCGTCAGATTGAAATCTAAATAAGACCAACATAGGTTCTGGTTAAGTAGACACTGTGGAATCTTTTTAGCTCAACCCAAAATGATGTTTAGTTCAAAACTTCAACTTGTCGTCTGATGGATACAACGTGTGGGTGTTACACATAATGGGTAAGCGATCCTCGTTCATTCACTACCTCGTCTATTCATTGACTGGAAGCTTGCCTTTCAAACAACGATTATGTTGACAATTCGCTGATGGTCGAATGGCATAGAAAAATGTGTCCTTAGATTTTAATAAGCATTAACATGCCTATTTTTTTTTGTATTTTCTCGTGAAGGAGAACCATGTCTGGCTGCTGTGTCGCGTAAAATAATTTGTTCCCTTAGATTTCTCTTAATTACTATACAACTATTGGAAAACGATGAATGGTAAAGCACGTGCTTATGATCAATACACGAGTCTGTGTTGTTCATGTATTGAGTAAGCGTACTGACATTGGGTCGCTGTGGTGCTATGATAACAACATAATAACAATAGGCGTCGTACCGTTATTCTAACTAAGAGCGGCCGTCGTTACTTGTTATCGTTGTTGTTACATTTGACCCTAATGGAAAACCGCTAAAGGGAGCGAAAAAAAAAAAAAAAAAAAAAAAAAAAACTAGGAAAGCATCTACTGACTGTATAAGCCGTTCGATGGTCACTATTTCGCTGCATCAATCAACGATTAGAATTAACGCGCGAACAGCTCTGTCTGTTATCTGAAACGCCCTCTATCGTGATCAGCGATAGCACCGACGCCCGCATCGGACCGACGCCCAAAAACATCGATCGCCAGTTTAGTAATGCTATAATAATAGTACTATACCTAAGACACAAAGAGTTTTTCCCATAGCTTGTGTTACTAAATTTTTTTAGAATTCCTCACGGCTCCCAACCTTTTTAACAGACACGGTCGATTTAAAGTATCATGTGATAAAATTCCCTCGGGGCTAAGTTACTGGCAAAAAGCATTTTTCCATTCAAGGCGTACTGAACAATAGATGAGAAGCAGATTCGTTCTGGTCCCAACTGCCATTTACGACCGATCGTGCACAACCACTAATATGGAGAAATTAAAAAATTTTTGTCATCAACACAAGGATACCATCGCGAGTTATTGCTTTTCCCGAAAGACGAACTTATCTGAGGGGCGTTAGGCAGGAAACGCGATATTGGGCGTATCGGGTCGATGTTCAACACGCAACATGCAATATGGCCTGTTATAGAACTTCCAATGATAATTGTCTTTATCGTCATTGGAACCATTCAGAAATCTAGACTTTAGAAGTATTTAAGCTGTGAGTTAGTGACTCTTAGGACGCAAAGCTTCTGGGTGATGACGGGCGGGATACTGGATGGATCTATTATCGTATCTGTCCAATTCATGCCAGTCGTCAAAGCTTTACGTAGACGAGCATGCGCTTTTTGAGGCGTTCATTTTCTGCTTATCCACTCGTACTTCCTTACATCTGAAGCGTACCTTTCCAATGCGTGTATGAGGCGTGCATCAAATATAATAAAGATATTGATTGCGTTGGCTAAATAATGAAGTAAAAAAAATATCGAATACAATTAATAAAGCCACATATTGAAAAAGAAAGAAACGGAAGCGGTTTTAATCTTTGCTTTAGTAAGCACCACTTCTGCATTGCTTAATTACGGAACGTTACAATTTATAAACGCATTTTCCTTTCCCTGTCATTCATGCAAGGGCAAATATAATACTTGGAGCTGCTGTTTTTAGAAAAAAAAAAAAAACGTAAAATTGTTTCTCCTTGCCGTGGCTAGAAGAAATACTGTCTGTACGTGGCAACGTAATTGTCTGCTGAACGCTTATTACCTTAAAACGAATAGACATTGGCCTTCATAAACGGGGAAAGATGTGGCTGTACGTTTAAGCGGATCGCTGAAATCGATGCTTTCTTTAACGGGAGGGCCTGCCTATCTTTGGAGGCGTAATGTAATACTGAGATGTTATGAATGCATAGAGATTATATATAAAATACGTACATGGTACGTATGAAGTCAACGTGAGTATGATCAAATATGGCGTGTCCAGGTAAGGTAAGAGGTAGTCTAGAAATTAATTTCAGTATAGTAAAACAGGTAACTTATCCTCGGATGCGTGGATACCGTACCGATAAACGTCATAGGATAAAATTGGCGTACGCGTCGCGGACTGGCAGTCTAGAATTTAATGGTTTTGCTTTTTATCCGAATTCACAGCTGCCATGCGTAATGTAAAGGTAACCTGTAACTACTTGCGATCTTTGTTTTTCGACTCAAATTAATACTGACCTGGTAATAGTTAGGACGTGGCAATAGGTAGGTTTAGGTTGCGGATAATTCTGGTGAACATTCACGAGAATATTAAGGGAGATGTGCATAGAGGGGAAAAGTGTGCTTACAACGTAACTTTAGGTACAGTCGAGCAATGTTTACACAGTGTCGTAGTCAACCCTTTTACCCCTGTCGGTCTGTCTGGCTGTTGACTTGCGACGTCGGCAACTGTAAACCTACGTTTGCCCTATTTCACTATATATTTAGACAATACGGCTATTTTATTCAAATCATAGTTATATAGATTTTCTGTTACAGTTTAATTTTTTCTTAGGCATCGTTCTAGCAGTCTATTTTTAATGTAATTCTTCTAGCTATGATTGCTTACCAAGCGTTACACTGTGAGGAACGGCATTAGCTCCAATGTTACGTCCGTTTCAACTGGCGATTTCAATTCAAATCAGCGATAAAAGTCTGGAGTCGAAACGCTTCTTAAAAATAAACGATAGCCAAAGAAAATGCTCTATTCCTCACTCCGCAGACGCCTCAGCAACAGACTCATGCCGGTTGCATATCGTTGTCGTGTGTGTATGACGTATTATAGCATAGACCCATCGTAGCCCGTAAATACTATTAGAATTTCATATGATTTGCTCAACTTAGAGAACAAACATACGCTATAGGAAAAAAAAAGACAATATCAGAAAGAAATACTATTCAGTATTTACTAATTAATGAAAAGTGTGGTGACAGGTTGCACAGGCCCAGGTCCGTGATTTGAAGTTCGCGCTGGCAACAATAGCCACTGGAGTTGCCGCAAATAAGGATGCTCTAATAGCTTTTGCTTTGCCGGGGAGATAGGTTAACTTCTACGGTAATAAAATCATCAAAAAAAAAACATCCCGAATGCGCATTGAGAACAAAATTTTCACAGATTTTTATTTTTATTCTAATTTTAATTCTAGGCATGATCCTGCTCAACGTTGCAGCAATGGCCGCTGTTCGCGAAAGCTGTGAAGGTCGTATGCATAACTGTACAGAAAGAGTACGGCCGTTTCTCCATGATCTCGAATACATGTTTCCAACGAATCTCCAACACATCGACAATATGTGCAGGTCAGCGACTATTATCTACAGTTTCAGCAGTCCAATCAAGTAGGAGAAACACGTTTTTACCGACCTATGGAGAAATTCAAACCAACTGATGATTTAAGTAATCATTCCTCTTCGAAACGCCTAGAACACGTCAGCTCCATGGTCGGAAAGTAACTGTTAATGATCTTTCGGGCACAAACCCGCTGCTAAACGAGGCAGATTCGCTACGCCTCGGTCGGGCAGGCGAGAGATATTCTAAATCTGTTATGTCCATAGGTCATTGACGAATTTATAACACATTTAATTGTAATACTAAATATCGCACAAAGTTCTTGAAACGTACGAAAGGCGAACCAAGTATCAGGACACTGAAAGTAGCACAGCTGGGAAACGCTCAAGCTATTGAGCATTTTCTGTTGCAAGCTATCGAAGTTTTCAACAGAGGGTAAACTCACAGCAACGAATCAGTTATGAAGTCATATAACTTTTTCCTAAACAGCATAGTCTTCCTCTATTTACAGGATGTGGGGTGGGTTTGTGGATTGCATTCGACTCTATGTGAAAGACTGTGCTAGCGACGATCAACGATCGAGATTCAACGACGCTGTAGGGGACTCCATTGACACCGTTCACGCGATTTGCGCTTCCGACAAGTATCAGAAAGGTTAACGCCTTTGACATTTACTTAAAGAACAGCTTTGTACAGCCAACAAGAAGTTACCTCACTAAGTACTGACGATAACATCAGCCGCAGCATATCCTACAGGACATAATTCAGGCCCGCCAGCAAATTCGAATCGGAAACCTTGCTTGATAATTATTACCATGACAGCGCAGACATCGTTTATCTTCTAGTAAAAGCCAGAACCACAATACAAATTATGCTTGGATTTAAAAATAACTCCGGCAAAACAAGGCTTTTGTATGTTTAAAGAGTACATTCGCTGAATACATTACCTGCGCTTCCGTTTTCAGAGTACCTTCAGAGTGCATCATGCTTCCGCAAGGTCTCCGTGGACAACTGTGGCTCTCATTATAACGACATGGTGGGCGAAGTCAGTCAGTCCGGCAGTGAAGCTAGTGACAACATCTGCTGGTTTGTATAATTTAAGGGCAAACGCCATCACGCGGCGCAATCACGTAACAAGTCGCATGGACATGGGAAGGACGGCAGCACTATAATGATGACCTTGTATTGACAGTTCTGCATAAATGTAATTGAAATAATATAACCCATGTGTCATGTTCCGGTCCCTGTTGGTGTTGTTGTTCTTGAATCTTTCGTAATATCATTCTATTAGTGGGTCTGCATGTGTTTATCACTGCTGGGGAAATAGATATATTCACAATTGACTTGAGACTGTTAGCAATTATTTTGTTCCTATCGAATGGGTCCACCTTTTTTTTCTTCTCTAAATGGCTATGCCTTCCACAACCGCATCGACAAAAACAAACTCCGCCCCCCATTTGCTCTTGTTTACCGAACAGAAAGATGGCCGAAGCTAGAATTCAGTTTGGCTGTTGTATAGAACGGGGCACACGAATTATATTTATGAGTGTAAATGTTTTTTTTTATACATATAAATATTATATAATAACATATAAATGATTTTAAATGTTGATTTATGTTATATTGGAGCGACCAACTGGAGGTGGGCCCACCCCAACTGAACACAGCAAACAGAGAGACGGAAATAGACGGAGCTGTAATAGCATAAAATTCAACCAGGTTTAGGTTGCTACGGTGATGTGAGTTAATGACACACACAAAGCAACTTGATTTACGTTTGGCAAAGTTGGCCTGCCTTCGCGGTAATGTAAAACCATTACAATGTGCCATGCTGGCCAGAAACTGCGAGGAAATGTGGGGCAAAAGTCCAATGCAGGTAATACCAATGTTAAAGAAGACGGTCTGAGAAAGGCTTTATCATATCTGCAGTGTGCCAATCACACGAGACATGCTACAAATGCACTTAGTAAGATTCATATGAGAGTAACACAGTTATTAAAATCTTATTCACTGCAGCTTATATGAGTAATTTTTCCCCTCGCAGTCTCGGCCGATACGGGTAATAGGCGTCTAGTAACAGTATTTCCAATAACAGCCTTTATCCTTAGAAAATCAAAATATTCCGCGCTGCTTTCAACGCACATGTATAATGTACAAATAGACGAGTTTCTATGTGATACGAGGACGCTCTAGGCGGAGAAAGCGATTGCGAAGTATAGAAAACCATACAATAATGATCTAGAATTGATTCGCATTTAAAGTTGTGGATATTCCTTGCATAACCATATGAGAGACTAAGCTTGACGGTAGCTGAGGAGCACCTTCGTCGATTTTTTTCCGCCGATTGTGTGCCACGTAGATAGTCACCTGTAACACAAACAATGATCTCAGAGTGCGTTAGATACAACTCAAGGTTTTAGAAGACAAAAATGAAGACTAGTCTACCCGAGATCCTGCATATTCTTCTCCTTTACTTTCCTGTAAGTACTAGCGATGTACTTACAGGAAAACAAATGAAAAGGCCTTATACCGATCAATTGTTCATGGGGTTGCCTAATTTCCTGACCACAGAATGCATTTATCTTTAAAGGCACAATGCTGAACATCATCAAAACATTAGTCAAGATCTGTTCGTAAACGCCATTTCTCAATATATGATATTGAATTAATCCTCAAGTTGTGCCTACCATATGTTATAGTAAGAAGTTCGTCACAAAAAGAAAAGAAAGCTCAAGATCGAAAAATGAATTGGCACCGAATCAGTGAGGCCGTAATTCATTAAAAATGGGATTAACATAGGAAAGGTGTTATCCTGTCAGTTATAATGTGGGGTAACTCAAAAAAAAAAAAAATATATATATATATAACGAATTAATGAATTCTAATGAACCTCCTCAGCAATGTCCATGTATTTGAAAATAAACTTTCTTCGAATGGAAGCTTAGTGCAGTAGTTTTGTCCAGCATGAGCAGCAAGCAGACGATATGTTCTTCCGGCACACGTTTAGCGTCAGCAATAGTAAACTAGCAGAATATTAAAAAAGATTCGTGAGCAGGTCTAGCGTGCCAAAAGCCCATCGAAAGACGATTCTCAAATTTACAGTCATATCAAAGCGGACGCAAGGCCCGCCTGGAAACACGTTCTACATGATTCGCATGGGTTTTAAACATTTTTTTACATTACATCACAGCTATTTCCGCGAAGGTTTAATATACATTTGTGTTAGCTTGGTTGGCATCAGGTAACCTATTCAAAGCACCGCAAAGTATTCTTGGCCTACGGATCTGACTGAGGCGTATATTAATAGGCAAAAAGGCAACGACAAAACAAATTTGCGACGCGTCAAGCGTACATAAAGAAAAGAAGCGTGTTCTCCAAGACAGCAGTGAGATAGGACCTTGAAATCATTAATTCGCTGAATAATGGCACCGTTATGCTGGGTGTAATTTTAATTTTGTATCAAACTGATTTATGAAACGTGTATAATGGCAGGAACGGAAAAATGTGTATATTTTTATTTACCTTTAAATTTTATTTGGTGTTGTATTTAGCTTATTAATATCTGGTAGAAGCTATTGTGAATTATTTGCTTAATGTTATTGTTTTTATTTCAGTTCATACTCAAAGTTCAGAAGTTGCGTCAGTGAGCCGCTTCTTCGCCTGTGCGGATCGCACGCTCGGACCATTATGGACCACTCGATGGCATTTCTAATTCATAGATGCTCAGGAAATTCTTACTCGTGAGTATCGCAGGCTAATGTCGTCTGCTCTCAGACTATAAACACCGCTCCCTAACGTTGGTAATTCGCCTCCAAATATATGCACTTTTATCGACAGAGGGAAAATGGTACCAGTTCTTTGACTAAATATACACTGGACATATATAAACTCAATGGTTAAACCAACTGGATTATAAAAGCGTTGTTGAGTGCTATATATTGACAATATTATGTAAGCATGATATGTTTGTACGGTTATTCTAATCATCAGCATTCTGTAACATATATATTTTGTCAGGTATCCTTCATAGAATGCACATTGGTTGACATTTTGCCAAATAGCTTCCTATTGCAGACTTGTGTGAGTTTAATACATTCTGCTCTGTATCCTTGATTCAGTCGAGACAAGCTTTATGAAATTCATTCAACAAATTAACTCAGATGTCCCAGAAATTCTTGTCGCGTTATATGTGCCCAGAAGTGTACCGACGACCCAGATCGCTCGTGTCCTCTCTCTACATCAAATTGCACAAAAAATAGTTTGCAAATTGTTAAGTGCCACTAAAACCCAGTTTATGTTTTTCCAGGTACAACATAGCTACAAAGCCAAATCATTAATGGTTTCACTTTCTAACCTGAGGTTTGACAATTCATGCGCTACCGATGATTGGCTATTGTCTCAAAAGCTTGTTTAACTATGGCTTCCTCATCACTATTACAGTCAGCTCACTTATTAGAGTTCAAATAGGAAATGAAAAACAAGAAGTTATAGTAAAGCAGGTAGAGGGTATGTCGATCGTTTCACAATCGCTATCAACAGCGTGGCATCTGCCAGCTGCCAAAAACAGAAAAAACTTTTTGTACTTCTGTGGTAACTTTCAGTCGGATTTTGCCTTGTTTGTCTCATTTTGGCGAATGGCATTGGCAAACGATCCACGATGGTAACGATACGTAACCTAACCGTTTGACTGTTATTTGCTATACGACTCGTGGTTTCTACTAAACCTATTGTGCTTTCGACTGAATGAACTTCCATGCTAGACCGTTCACACCTAGTGATTCTGATAACGAGAATAACAATAACTGTTGCGGTTTCTAACACTACAGCCTCATTAGTCCGAGCAAAGATACGTTAAACCGCTAGCAAGTATGCTATGCATGAAGCACTAAACCATATCACATCACTTTCAATAATATCATTATATAGTTTGTAACAGTAGCAGTACCCCAACACTGATCCGAGCACGAATTGTCGCATAAAGTGTTTTTTTTTTTCTTTTGATTACTTTACATTAGTAAAAACGGCAGAAGACGAACCAGACGAGCTTTCTAATTTCATTTAACGAGCAGTCTCTCCTTTATCCATATTTTATAACATAGCCAAGTAATAGTAGAATGGATAAATAGAGCAGTAAATAAAAAAAAACAACTAATGATAAACACCCATTATTCTCTTGTATAATTATAGATCGACTATCATTTTCAGAAGATCAAGATACTGCGAAGGGTTACCATTTTCCCTGTAGATCACAAACGATTCGGATTTTATCTTTGTTTGGCTCTCTATGGCGTTTTTTTTCTTTAGCATCCTAGCTATGGATATCTGACGAAGCCTACAATAATACGATCTTTTTTTCGGCTGCTTTGTTAGAAGACCATTGCCCTGAAGATTTTGCTAATATATATTTTATGAGGTCAAAGGCAGTTAATGAAATTATAGTTTCAGCCACGGAAGAGTGCGTACGTATCTTTGCGATGACGTAAACTTTTCGCCCTAACATATTTTATGCTTCATATGTAGAGAAAGGTTTGTAATGTCCCCGTTAGCAGAAAGTCTACCCCATTAGCATAAGGTCAAGTATCCTATCCACTCGTAACTTTGAATGAATTACATAGAAGACTGGATTTCGGATAAGTACTTAACCGCATAAGAGTACAACATATAAATAGAATTCAAATCTGTCATATTGCCCAGTAGCCAGAACCCAGTAAATGGCCTAACGTAATTACCACTTTGCCTAGAAAGCGAGTTGAAAGGCAACACCTTCCATATTCCTGAATAACCTTTCGTATTTTAAGTATTTCCTGGCAGAAACGTCGGCCATCAAACAGTTGAAACATCGTATTTACCACTGATAACCATCTAAGCTCTACCACCTCTTTGTCCCTTCTACTACTTCTAACTGCCTGTTTGTTTTTCTAGGAGCTTTTTTTTCGTATTCCTATGCTAGTCCATGTCAGTTTCAAGTGATGTTAAATTGGTCAAATTATTCACACGCTTCTGCGACTTCTTTCCAGTCTTTCGTACGAATGTCCGAAATCACGGGGTCACTCGATTTTCACGAATGATCGTCCCATAGTTGTGTCCTCTTCGATGTCGCTTAACGGTTCACCCATTGTGGACGATAACAAGATGTACAACAATGATATTCGCCATCGACATAGCACTTTTCGGTCGACAAACGATCCAAGGAATCGGGACGATTATTACGATAGATATAACTTTGATTCGCGGGAGATCGCGAGGCAGTCGCACCTAACACCCGCATCGGCAGGGGCAAGCGGCGCGTCATATCGGTTGTCAAATCAGTACAATAACCGGGCCTTGTCGGATCACAATAGTTCGTCGTCCGCGTTTGCAGCATCACCAACGCTCACGTCGTCGGCAACTGATTTCGGCGACTCAAACCAGGATACGGCCAGGAGGCTGCAAGCTACAGCGAAATTTGAAAGACCTGCTGCGTCCGCTAGCAGTCGCCTATCGAGGACCTTCAGTGATAATGATTCATCAACAGCCGTTGCTCAGATTGGTGGTGGACACCTGCTTATAATTAGTTGTTCGCTTTTGATCCTTACTTTATTTTGAACAGGTCTCTGGTATCGGCAGGGTACATAGCGGCTCTATGAAGTGAATAGTGAAAATCTGCCACAGCAGTGGCGGTTGAGCTCAAAACCGTCGAGAAGAAAGAGTTGCATTCAGGTTACTTGAGTTAGTTTATCATACACTATTCAGGACCTTACGTCGTACCTGACATAAGATAATCTAACTTTTTGGTGGGTTACTGAAGCTACCCTATCAAAAAAATATTCAATTTAATAGAAACTTGCAGATTGTAAACTCGGATTTAGCCTCACTCAGACACAAAAGCACGATATTTTTTTTTTGTAGTCTGCACATTTCGAACGAAATTTTATATTTCCACAAACATCTATTTTTACTGGTGGACTTTAATTCTGAACGAGTAGAACGACTTCTCAGTAGAATTAGGTTCATCAAGTTTAGAGTGTAGAAATACACTTTGTGGTTCGTACAACTTACAAAACTGAATTAAGTAACGGCTTTAGAATAACATGCAAACCATTGTTACTGTACATCATTGTTCTCGTTTTTTTGTCATATGTATATCGCTAACGATGTAGACCAACACAGCTGCAAAGTAGGCCGAGTCAATAACAGATATTTGGTAATAAAGTTGCTATATTCACATAGCTGTTGGTGAAGCTATATATTGTACATATATGGTCAAAACCCTCTGTTCAAAAATGAATGACTCGTTTGCTCCAGATTAACGAATATTTACTTAATTACTTAACCCCAAGCTGTCCCCCTCAGAATAAATCCCGACGAATATAACACACTAATGCCTCAAAACATGTCTCGAATTCGATCTTCAGTACAATCCTTAGTTTGGTCAGCAATTTTTATGTCGATATGCTTCCATTTCAAATTTTCTGTTACTTTTGCAAACATGAAAATGGGGTTAATTCCGGGAAAGGGGGTCAGAGCAACACACGTATTAAATTATTTTATAACAACTGCTGTGCATCGTTATGATGCAGGACTTGCCGTGCCACAGTTCAGGTTCCTTGTGTCAGACGTAGCCGCGAAATTTTCGAAAAACTTCTTGATAATGTTTGCTGGTGAGCGTGGAGCACGACAACATAAACTCATAATAAACAGTTTTTCAACGGACGAACAAAACTATGAGATCAATTTTGGTTTTAGGCCTAGAGCGTGCGATTTCCTTTTAGTGGGGTTTGTTTTTGTATCGGTATTAGAAAGATTGTATTCTTGTGCCCTAATCGTAGCCTAATATGGACGTCTGGTCACCCGTAAAAACGTATTCAAGCCAGTCTGTTTTTTTTTTTAGAAGTGCCAAACGTTTTCCTGGCACAGCTCCCCATGGACGTTCATCTAAGGAACGTTCAGTTGTTTCGGCGTAAGCTTTGCCGTAAGCCCTCTAACACCCAGAAGATCGGTCGAGAGAGCCTGAGATGAGCCTTTTGAAATACTTACTTGTTCTACTAGCCCTTTCATTGTGGTATGGCTGTTGACGAGCACCAGTTGTTTCGTCTTTTCCACGTTCTCGTGCGCAATCGTCGATACAGACCTTCCACGAAGGGGATTTTTCTCGATAAACTCCTGTCCGTTTCTGAAGCGCTTGAACGACCTGTTTATTTGAGCTTTATTCCATGCCTAGTTTCCGTAGACACTACGCAACATCCGCAGTATCTGAACGGAATTATTCTACAACAGACTTATAGCTGAGAAAAACCGCGAAACGCTTATTACATAGATTTATACAATTTCATCGGAGAACTCGATGTTGCATCGGATTTTTATGAAATTTCATCTCTGTTTAGCGGAAGCCCTGGTTTTCTTCCCAGACCAAAAACCCATTAACTTTTGAACAAATGGTTATATATATAGCTTTCGTATATTTAATATGGACCAATACCAAAGCCATCGATCCCAACGGAAACTGGGCAGTTAATAAAGTTTTGTAAATCATTGCGACTCTGCATTTTCTCTCTCGATTTTCAATGTATTCTGAGTGCGATTATAATGACTTGATTATACATCGAAAACTAGAATCAACTATATGATGATTTTTGTTCAGAACTGACATATTTTATAACTTAATACGTTTGCTGAAGATGGTAAATAAATAAGTTCCGGCATCAACTTATACTACTATAAACGTATCTCATCCGTAAATGATCCCTGAAAACGTTAAACAAGTACGTTTACTTGACTATAGATGTTTATCAAAATTTTCATGGTAATACCGCGGGATCTTAGATAAATAAGACAAAAATTTAACATAAAGTAATGATCACTGGATGCAGAATTTTGTCAAAAACGTCATATTTGTGTACGATTTTTGATATATTTATGAAATATCAACACGTCGACATCTTTCAATATAGCAATAAATATAGTAATAAATATTTTGTACGAAGTGATTTGACTGAGCATGTGTTAAACCGAACAATTTTCTGTAGCGTCACCTTTTATAATACTAGAATTACCGTTGCGTAACTTTAACTTAGCACGACTTCGAAGATTAACTTAAATTAAGCTACAAGAGGATAATGTTTTCATATCTATCATTCTTTTTCCGCCTCGGTAACGTTTGTTAATAAAAATTATTTTTTTTCTATTTTTGATTTGAAAATGAAAACCAAATTCTGTCATATTTTATGCAAATACAACATACGCTAACAAAACGGTGATTATTGTAGTGTTATTCTGCAAAGAAATAGAGAATCCATGGTTTTGAATCGATGGGCAAAATAATTTTGAATTAGTTGTCTGGAAATTTAGTAACTGATCCGATTCAAGAAAGATTTTTTTATTTCATCGTTTAAGACACACATAGTAATTTTTTACATCTAGATGACGACAAGCGCGCTTAACATAAAAACAGGCTAAATGGAAAATAACTTTATAATTGTTGTTAGTATTACTAACATTTCTTTTGGATTTGAAAAACGGCTCCTAACAACATGATCGTGGTTAATTTTATTCAAGGCACATTTCGCTGATATATCTCATAACTTAGCTTAAAGTTACGTTCTGGAAGTTCGCAGTCATCGAGGTTCTTGTTTGCTCTTTCCAACAGTGGCAGCACTTTTGCCAAAGCTTAGGCGCGGCCTCAGGCTGGGCATTAAGCATGACGGGTACAGCTATGGTTTGCGTGATTATGGATCTTGACAATGACCCAGTTTAGCGAAATAAAGACAACTTACCTGTAACGGAAATAAGAACTGACCTTTAAAATACATAGGTAATGAATAAAGCGACCAGCTTGATGGTACTCAATACCGATCCTGCAATATAATAAGAGTGCCAATCGTCGTTATAACCGCTGCATGTGGCAGTTTTTTTTTGGTATTCTAGGTAAGACTTTACACAGCTTTGCCTCATTACCTCAGTTAACAGATAGTGAGTAACATACTAACGTTTCAAAGCTAATGACAGACGTCAATATTCAATTACGGAGGACATTCAATTAAGTATCGATGTTCGATCCACATTACGTTACGAGAAACAATCGCTAACTACTGAGAATACCTGAGCCACTCTTAAATTTATCTCTGAAATTGACTGTAGCAAACAAGTGCAACAAGAATTGGGGGAATTCACCCCAGCAGAGGAGCGACCTCGCTTTGCAATATATGGCAAAGCACGAACCATATTCAGTTCTTTATAAGCCCAGATTCAAATTCCGATTTTTATATCTGTGCAGCAGTATGAACATCTTTGTCAATGCGACCGGTGTCGAAGCCGCTGGTCGCAGTGAAACACAACACAACACATCAAAGGTAAGGACACCTACTGATACAAACACGATGAATTGAAGAACGGAGAGCGGAGGAACGACGACAATGTTCTAGTGACGGGGATAGCAGAAAAGGCGCTCGACACATCTGGTTATTTTACTAGAACGTTAACTTAATATATAATTATAATTAACGTAATTTTTGATTGTCTCATGCAGTGTCTTCATTCTCAACACATTACGCACCGTGAGCCAATGTTTGCATTTTCTTTCATTTAAAACATCCTAGAGCAATCACATAGGTAGCAAAGAGCACACACAAATAATTTTTTTTATAACGTAAATTTCTTCTATGATTGAATCATCAATAAGAAGCATTAGGCTTGTGCATTATCAGCGCGATGGCGAAAAATACTGGCGCAACAGAAGGGTACACAAAATTGGGCCAGTAACCTATTTCGAAATTACACAAATAAGCGTCATTTTAGGTTCCGATCGTCGACATTGCCAGTGATTCAAATGTGGGCATATTATCATGTAGCAGAAACAAGGTTCATAGCGTAAAAGTCCAATACATACCTGGAAATTAGTTAACAATTGACTGGCAATACTGTAAACACTGACATCTAGTGATTATTCGGGTTTCATTCCCTAATCGTGAAATTTACCGAACTAAGAGTTGGTCATTGTAAAATGGGTCGAGACTATTTGACAAATCGCGGATCGTATATCAAAATTGATATTACTTGATGCCGTTTTATCTTTTGTCAGAGCATGTATAGATAAATGCCAACCGAATTGCAACACCATAGATAGTAAGATACTCTTTATTCGTGAATAGCAATAGACCTCAGGCAGTGGGGTTTTTGTAAACACCTCAAAATGAGAAAGGGTGCCACTAAGATGCCGAAGGTTGCTATCAGTGATATGATCATTACAGTGATAAGTGAAATACATGCTGACGCCGGGTCCGAACAGGGAATATTTCAAATATAAAGATGCCCTCTAAACCAAAGTAGAGACTTAAATGAAGTACACCTATAAGTCAGCACAACTCACCAACGAAATATAATTTTCGGAAGTTTTGAATTGTAAGTCAAGTTTAGTAGACGTTTTCAAACGAAATAGATATATGAGTGAGGTTCATTATTGTTAAAGTTCTCAGGTTGCCTTAGATAAACTTTGGTGTGCCTAATAAGTTACCGCGTTGCTACGATCTTCGCATGTTGTTTGTTAGAATCAGGAAGCGGGAAACAGACTGGCTGTTCTATGTAGGCTTTTAAAACTTTTACCGAAATCAGGTATGGTAATATACAGGTCACAAGTACACAACCCTTGAAAGAAGCTCTCATAGTGGTACTTAGAACGTACAAACAATAAAGATTAGTACATTTAACATGTAGCAGTATCATTCTCCTCTTTTATATGGTGTAAGCGTTATTCAAGTACATTTAACCCGTTCCATAGTTTGTCGGAAACGTCCTTCAAATAGACTTATAGTACATACTTATATGTAATACGAGATAAGATGGCTCGTAATCAGAAGTGACAAAAGAAACGAATATGGCTTGTAGTTCAATCAAATGGCTTCTACTTTAATCGGGTCCTATTGATTATCGCAATTTCTTTGTGAAAAAAGTGCCTCGTGCCGTCCGGACAGACCTTTATAAGCATTTTCTCTATGCAGTTTCCACAAGCGACCATTGAAACATTAAAGCACGAGTAGTTAAGAAAACAGAAGATCCAGTCAGACCGGCCGGAAGAAAGCATAAAGTTACGCCATTAGTTGACTGCTGCATTGTTAACAACATATGTCAGCAAGGAACTTAGCAATGTGTGCTGAATAGTGGTGCTACCCCCCAAAAGGTAGCGCTGCGGAAAGGCATTGAACAGAGAGACGGAGAAGGCAACTTTACTTACACTTCAAGTTAATTTTTTCAAAATACATATTGAGCATTGTAACAGAAATTGGCTACATTTGGCAAAAACATGTATATTCCTAGTTTTATAAAACCACCACAATGCGTACCCCTATAGCAGCGGGAAATGTAGCATGCAGATACATTTACGGTGTCGATCAATGCTTCACAGTGGGGAGCGTGCATTATCCTTAGTTTAGCAAATGGCATAGAATACCGAGAAATAAACGGATAAGCGATAGTTGAAGACCGGAGGAAGCGTGCTAACACGCGCAATAGATGGCACAACATTGTCCGACAATAGAACCAAACAAACGAGCGCAGATCTCAAATACGAATTTACTGTTGCAATATATCTGGTGGCTATGCTAAATTAAGTTTCAAATAAGTTTGTGCACTAGAAATAATAAGTATTATCAAATCTGGTAAAAATCTAGTGCAAATAATATGCGAATTTGCAGTTTGAGCAACACAATAACCCGAAGCATCTCAACAAGCTCACAAGCGACACAGAAATGCTGATCTCGATGTTTTTGAGAAATTCTATTAGATAATTGTTGTTTGATTTTAGCAGTGACTCTCTTTGTAGAGGGGAAATGTTTGTTGAAACTGTAGGCGCTAGTTAACAGGGAGTTGTTGGTTGGCCTGAAACCGTTTGCGGAGAATCGTGAGTAGCGGCATTAGCATAACTTTTTGATCAGTGCGTTAATACTAACGCTTGTGTATATATCGTTTGCGATAAATAGAATTTAATTTACAAACACTATATATATGGCATCAGTGACTTGTTTTTCATGCAGTATTTATCAATAATTTGGGGCAAAAGGAACAAGTGCAAAACGTTTGAAGTGAAAGACACACGAAACGTTTTCGAATAAAGCAACGACCAAGAAGTGAGATAGACGTCAGGACTAGCGCTCTAGAAGTATTTAGATGGTTACCTATTTATATGTCAAATCATCATATCTAAATTCTTTAGTTTCTATTACTTTTTTGAGCTAACAGATCTTTAAAAGCGCAGCCATCAGCAAAGGGGTCCCGTAAAATCTTTGTATAGCATAAAGGAATTTAAACGGTACTTCAGCTTTTTTTTTGCAGTGTTTTGCATTGTTGCATTGCGTGAGCAAGTTACCAGAATCGATCTGCTTAGTATGGCACAAAGGTTTTGTTTTCACCAAAATTTCCTGCCAGGATGGGTTTTGCTAGGGTGACTTGTCTGAGGTTTCCATAATAAACACGCACGAACAGATACGTCGTTGCTCGATAGCTATGCATCATCCACAAGCAATTGTAAGCGTGTGAAGACGCAGGTTAGCTTCACCTAGGCACTTTGTACATTGCCGGGTGATCTCACATGATCTCTCGAGTGATAATGGACATCTTAAGTGGAGCAGAAATTGGCCGGCCTATATGAGCTAGAACCTGAATAGACCATGTTGTTTACCTAACCAAAAAAGTGGTTTCTAGAAATACATTCAGGTTGCGCCGATACGTTCAGTCGATTTGCTTTACGAGTTGTAAATAGCGGACGGTAAGAGTCGTCTATGACAGTTTGTGCTTCGGTAGAGCAGTTTGCTACGACAGGGCAAGTTGCATTTGTAGAAAAGTTTTACGCTTACAGATACTGAGATCCTCGAGCTTACAGATCTCGACCTTTCTAAAATGCAGTGAGAAGAACGGAACATTCAGAACATACGTGACATTGTCTGCTTCGAGCCGAATCCAATTCTGACCTATGCGACTTGCTACAACATCTCCCTACTTAATATTACCTATGTCGAGAAGTGGATTTCAAAATTTTACTGAAGTTCGCGAAATGATTTGGTTGATATTGTAATTTTTTCAAGGCATTCTCTTTGTGACAACATGATACCATCCCGGGGCTTAACTTTGTACCATTTTTCGTTGGAGTAGGGCGCACCATCACATTGGCCCGCCCTATGAACTGCATCTGAGGCCGTGGCAGTCAGTGATGGTCTACATTTCCTCACAAACCTCAATCAGACGAAGCAGCTATGCAGTGGTTAGAAAGTCGAAAGAAATTATGCCCTGCACATTTTAAAGCATAATCGTCTCTTGTGTTTGAGCTAAATGTCTGAGCGCTTGATGAACCAGGGCATTGTGTGAGGTATTCATGACTATCATGGTCTCGAACAAGAACGTTTAGTGCGGACTGTACTTGTCCCACCGAAAGCGGTCCACTCCTGTCATGCTCACCACAGGGCCTTTATACGACAAAGATGTCCGGACATGCAATTGCATAGAAGATACAAGCGTTCAGCGATCTCAGTAAAAAATGCAATTTATTACTGAAAACGGCATACTGCAATAAAGGCTGTGCGCTAATCAGGAAAATTGCATACGATAAATTAAAGATTTTGCAGCGTATGTCTAGTGGTAAGCGACTAGTGTCACTATCGCTGCATCGAGTCTTCCATCTTCGCCTCAACGGGATAGCATATTCATACAACATACCTTTCTAAAACTAATACAGTTAAGCAACAATAATAATAACCCTCTACTAATCTTTATAGATTTAAGCAAAATTTTTTTCGATTTACCATTGTCATAATAGCAGGCGAGGGGTTGCTTAGAACTTTGCTGGCCTATTTAGGCATATACCTCGCTTCACCAGCTAAATTCTAAAAGTTTCTCTTCATTTACTTTTTGCTTATATGGTGTTGCTGCGTTCTCCACTGGTGTTCAATGACGAGATCGCTGTCAACAATACTTTTGATGCGTCTTCTCTCTGAACGGAACAGTTGAGCCTCAATGGATAAGTCTTCATTCTGATCATCATGCATGCACTTGAAGCTACTTGCTTGTTAAAGCTCAGCTTTACAATATTTTTATAAAGGCATCGTGACTGGGAAACTTTCGGTGGCAAAAGAATTGGCAGTACAAATCATCTGCCTTCATAGTAAGTTACCGAAAATTCTAGCACGAACGTAATGTATAGTTCTGGTAAGTGAAATAAAGAATGCTTGATCCGGCAATGATAAAAAATTTTCGACTGGCTGGGTTTTTTTTTACAGCATTAAATTTTCGCGTAATCCAGGTATTTCAAGATGCAATTGATAAACTGATTTCAGGAATAATATTTGTTTGAAAAGAGGAAAGACAAAGTAAATTTGTCTATTTCATAACATACAAATATAGTCAATGAAACAAGCTACTTTTTGGCACAACATATTATTATTATTGTGCGAGTTTTCAATATGTTGATTTACTAATTGTTGCAAAAATGATGAGACGTATTTTTATGAGCAATTAAATTAAAAAATTCACAAGCGTCTGACGAAGATTGCCTTCTGATTACATAAACCGTTACGATACTTTTTATTTGGTTCGAACACAATTTTTACAGCATTGTCAATTTAATAAATATGAACTCATAGAACGCACTGATTTCTCGTCATAAAAAGGACAACATTAGCCGGCATATCAGTATGCTCCTATTAAACTTGTCCAAGACCCATTACGATGGCTAGTATCAGAATGAAAAGAATCAACGTAGATTATTGAAGCAATCGTTTAAAACACTATTTTTGCCAACAAAATTGTTCTTTCTCTTAACAAGACCCCATTGCGTTGCCCCATCAATGTCCTTTCCTTATACCTTGGTGAAACTCCCGTAAGTACCCCGTGACACAGTACCTTCTTTATTCTTTTTCCAAAAAAACTGTTCCTTTTTTTTGGCAAGCTGATATCATGCCGCCGAACCATTTTGGGAGTCAATGCACATTCTCTCTACAATTCATTCGTTACGAATCGTGCTTGTGCTTGTGCGACGGTTATCGCTTATGCATTTTTCACGGCACATACAGGCCGGCCATTTTTCTGGTTATTCGCGCGCGTGCATCGCTTTAATCTCGGCATTACAATAACAATAACAATGACAACAATACATGCAAATGTCGGTGTTGGCCAGAATCACTACAATGCCGGCGTCAAGTAATAATACATTACTCATTTTCAGTAGTCTCAATATCATAGTGACTTGAGCAGACGACAAAGAGTTTGTTCAGTTAGGCAGCTCGCATCGGACCTCAAGGGATAATTTCTCCCTAGCTGTGGTTAGTGTGGGGCGAGAGACGTCGGCGACCCTCTCCCATCGTAATCTTGGCCGACGAATCAGTGCAAGCTTAAAGAGCCAGTTAGGCGAAAAGCCGGCGAGTTTTTGTATCGTGTCTAGGGATCTGCCTAGGGACTATCTGGGTACTCGCCAAGGGAGTGGTCTGTGAGTGCGTTGCGTCCTTCTATTATCAGCTCTACCGCAGTCGGGCTTAGAGGACTGTTGGTCGTGTTTCTTTGGCGAAGCTATTTGTGATCGCCGAGTGCGGTGCGGTGTGCTTCGCTCCGCACTAACTGCTAGTTTCGTTGACACGCGTGTTAAGCGTCGTGAGGTGTCTCCGCTCATCACACGGTCTATACTACGCTGCTTTTTGATCTTAAGCAGTAACAACGTAGTATATCTTTGTAGTAAGCACTGCTAAAAATCGGGCGAAATGACTGAGGTCGAGGCTCAGATGGCGTCGGAGGAGACAAGTGAGGAGACCAAAATGGAGGCTACCAATGGTGATGGCACCGATGGAACCGAAACCAACGGATCCCAGGCTGCGGCGACGCCGGCTGCTGCCCCTGCGACGCCAGCTACCGTTACCACTCCAACGACTGTGACCGCCACCGATGCTGAGGAAAGGTGAGTGCCACGTTCAGCAGAATTGTCTCGGAAATACTTCGATTAAGAAAAAAGGGGATGGCGAACTCAACCAGTCGCGTGTATTTCCCATGCTTTAACTATTAATTGGACATTCTGCTGTCTTCTAAAATGTTTTTTTGTTTTGAGTACGAATCTTGGAGCGTGCTCTGGCACTGAAGTGGCGGTATTTGAGTAGAACCTATAAATGCTAAAAGAGCGGATGGGCTTAAAGCTAGTGTAGTACGCTCTGTTGGGCCTAGTGGCGGCGTCGCCGGCGTACGCTCGGCAACGAATCGCACAGGTGCACCGCGTGAACTCTAAAAGTGGTTGTATATCTAAATGTTAACTTTTTACACAAATAATTGAAGCAACTTTAGGCTTTAAGCGAGTTTTCTAATTTGATTTCTGATATCAATACGCCGCGATATTTAACCTAGAATTTCTTTCCTACAAATATAAAACCGAGAGCGCGGTGCACTAAAACATGTCTTTATAGACAACGGGGCGGAACTTTAAGAATCGAAAGATTTGACCTCTGTATATCGAGTTTCCTTGTTTTCAGCATACATCAGTTTTCTCCCTTAATTGTCCTTGAAAAATTGATCTAAAGAGAACTGACACACAATAGATTCACTTCAATTTTCGTGCCGACTCTCGTGAAATCGCTGAGATTTTGTGGGTTTTTATCTTCACAAGTTGTGTGTCCACCTCTGCACATGCAGAGACCACCACGTAGCAAAAATAACAATTCGGTTTAGCGTTAGGCCTATTAATAGCAGCCGGTATTCAGCCGCCATATTGGCTGTCTGTTCGAACGGCGTTTCTTTATTTTTTTTATATGGCTAATCAATCATGCATCTTCCTCCGAAATCGTGGTGTTTTACATGAGTACAGAACGAATAAAGGGTCTGTCTGATCTATTCGTTTAAAGAAACAATGTCAGTTTATTGAAACTAAGATGGTATTCAACGGAACATTCTCTGCAGACAGAAATTCTAACGTAAATCATGCCAAAAGCTATGATGACATTACCTGATTATGTGTAGTTTTCGTTTAGTTAATTTTTCGTTAACAAAAAAGTGTACGTTGAAAAAGCACTAGGGTATCGAAGGATGACATCCCGCCGTAGATCTGTCGCTCTACTCGGTGACTGCTGTCTACTATCAATTGTAGATCGCTTAACTTAGCTGAGGTTTGTCTCATTATTTCGAGTAATTGTGTAAGAGAGTCCATGATTATATACGGATACAATATCCGCTGCCATAGGTAGGATTAGTCGATTTGTAAATGTTAATCGTAGTAGTAAATTCAATGGTCTCGAATCAAGTAGGAATTGTGTAATCCAGTCAACTTGAAAGTTTCATACATATTTGTTTCCTCAGGAAGGTGTATGTTCGAACAGTATTGTCCATGACATTACAGGCGAGAGAGAGAATGTGTAGTTGATCGAGAAAGAATTATATTAGTTATTTGGCCCCTTTTACGAGCAGTCACATCCGATGTTTGTTATCCACCATGCGCATTTCATTCATTGTATTTGCACTGTAAGATTTTAGCGGGTGACCAACTATCAGATAAACATTTCTCTTACCATTAGAGATATATATTAAATCGATAGTCTAGGATAATTGGTCTCCCTAATTTCGTGCTCGCTATTCCGACATCGAGTAATTCTTTACCTCACTGATTTTACAGACTGCTCGAAAAATAACTTGCAAGAAAATTAAATAGCATCTATAGTAGCAGTTTGTAAAAGGTGGAAACTGTATACTTCGATTCATAATGTTGTTGTATGTACAACTGTTTATTCTGATAAACCAGTTTACCGTTGGTACATTGATAAACAAAGCATATCAGCGGCATACGTGCCAGGATAAGAAAAATATACTAACAATCTTGTTAGGCAAAATCAGTCTTGCTATTGGTGCCTAGATATTTTAATAGTTGTTTGCGTAGATTGTGCAGAAAAGGTTTTCATGCGACAGCCTGTAGATTAACTGTGGGGCGAAGCATAAATTTGCAAACACGGGTGCCTGTTCCGGCAATGGTATGTCTATTGTGAATGTTTCGTAGGGATATATTTTCTCTGTGCGCAAATAGCCAGGCAAGAACTTTTAACGACACCACCCTTTTGTAATGCTATCGTAATTAATGTAAGGAAGACTATAAGGGGTAACATAAAAGTATTGGGGTTCGTTAATTAAAGAGGTAAACATGCCCGCGCAAGTCATACGTATACGCTTCTCTTAATGAATCTTCTCAACAGGGCATAGGCGTCGCGTTAGATGGGGCAGGAGGGTGATTTGTGCTTTTTTCAGCTCGAGTTGATGCTGCCGCCACGGACGACGTCAACACCGCTGGCATCGGAGTGCTACCCGGACGCCATCAAGGCATCGACGCGGGTCCCAAGACACCCCACTCTCTCGCTAGCCAAACTAAACTCCATCCATTGAACAATAATACAGATACTACTACTTTTACTAGTAGCCTAACAGTAATTTCGATGGTCCATAAAGAGAAATTTCCGACAGCGCTTTCTGCTCTAGAAGAACGTCTCAGAAGTAATAGCCAACAAAGAACTCTGCATCAGCTATTGTTCTTCTTTTTATTGTTCAGCATGGTAATGGTCACAGCATTTAGTCAGAGCAAGTGTGAAAAAAAAGCGGCAGATTCTTGCCATTTGACCGTTTGAAAACGACTCGTACACCGTAATCCCTGTTCGTCGTTTGAGTTTGATATAGACTGTAGCAGTCTTCAACTGTAACTATTATACTGCCGGATCACCTAAGTAAAGCTACAAAAAGGTGCTAATAATAACTAGCCATTAAAATTAACCACCAGAGCGTTAAACGTGTATCTTGTCTCCTTTGTCATCGCGTAAACGCCCTCACTTTTGTTGGTTATTCTTGTTCTCTCCATCGATCCACCGATATATAAGTAAACAAAAATGAATCATTTGATACCGTGTTCCGTCTTCCATGTATCTACGCTAAAATGTACAATCGGCTATATTAGTACCGCACGCGCGAGATCGCATTAACAAACGTAACCAGAGAACCTGAGCTGTTGGCTGATCTTTATTGATGTGTTGCTTTTTGTTCAACCTGTTCCGTGTTAGTGTGACCCATTTGTATCAACATGTGACCATTTCTTACTTACGATCAGCGAGTAGTGTCACCTGATAGCTGCTGTGAGGTACCTACAGATTCCTGGACGTAGGCAAAACAGATCCCATATCGTTAGAGACAGAACATGAGAAAAACAAAGGTACCTTGAGTCGTTCATTGTACGATGTGCAAACCATAGTCGGAGTATTGGCTCTAGCGGAGGGTAGAGCAAGCGCGACTGACACTGAGGTGGAGCCGAACAAGGCGGCGCTGCGCCCGTCTGCGAGGTGGCGGCGCCCGCGCCCGCGCCAAGCGACTTTCCCGCGCCATGTGACGAAAACGGTCGGCGCCACATCCATCCACGACTCCAGGAGCCGGGTCGGCTGCCGCTGCTGCTAAGCAATGGTAAAGTTGGCTTGGTTGACGACAAACACCATGACACCAAAATGATCGCTGCCAGGGGGCTGGCTTGTTGATGTCTCTTTTCTGATCTGATCAGGGCTGTTGTAAGAAGGGTTGTTTTTGACGAAGCAATATAGTGATCATAAGATAGCACGCCAGTTTTGCCGCACTGATCAAAGATTTAATCATCAGTCGATCGTTGCCGATGATTTTTGAAAAATCTTTAATACTTCCTCGAATATCTTCTCAGTTATAGCGATATGGTAAATTGACGTGTCTAGCTCATACGATCTGGGACTATTAGCTAAAGAGACAGAAAAAACAACCACAACAACAACAACAAAAAGCAGAGTTATTCGGTCCTCAGATGGGACGAAGGAACTGAAAATTTTTGGACCATACCACTATTAGTCGTGAATATAAATTTGAATACAATAAAAACAAAGCTTGAATCTCAAACCATCTCTACAACCGCCTACTGAGCATATTTTTCTCTCGAAATCATCCTCCATCATAGTCTTCTGTAAGCAGTCTGAGCAGCCTGACCAGATTATCAGCACTGAACTGAACACAGCAGTCTGAATTGACCTCAAATGAAAGCAGCTTTGTGGAATGACGAGCTTTGGGGCCGTAACTCAGACGTAACAGGCGAGTCCTGGAATCTCTCTACCTGCGCCGGCTCGCAGTGTACCTTCTTCAGAACTTCTTCAATCTTCTCGTTCATCTTGTGAAACGAATTCTCCGAATTCTCTGTGGTTTGGCCTAAAACCCGTAAGGTATTATCGTAATAATCATAGTCGGTGTCAGTATCAATATCGGCCTATCGGTGTTCAGCAAAAGCCTAATAACCCGTTATTTGTAGAATGACCTTTTTTTTGTTTCAATCAGGTTGTCGTAATAAAGCGGAATCAAACGTTCTAAGAAAACTTCTTATCTTGTCTAATGTTGTTCTCTTGGTTATAGAATTGGTTCGCGTAAGGTGTACGCGGTGGTATGGTATTGTCAAGCGAAGATAAACGATGAATAATACAGACACATGTAATATTGACACACAAAACATTTAATGACTTGAATCCTTAGGTCGCAACATGATGTGGGTATTATAACAGCTATGGGTCTCATGCTTAACTGCAATCCCATGGTCAACATAGGATTATGCTACACATTAAAACCATAATGAATACAACAACGTAGACGTCCTGCTGTGTTTACAGCACACTTTTGATATGTGCAGATTTCTGAGCTTTGTTATGATGTTGCGCAAGAATGCGTGTATTGTCGTAAAGGGTAGTGCGTGTTGGGTGTTAATGGTGACACATAAGCGCAGCAACTAAACTCGAAAAGTCGGTGTTGATTTTTTAAGTCTAACTTTTATTTCTGCATCTCATTCGATGCCTGGTGTGTGTGCAGGAAGCTATTCTGTGGCGGCCTCTCGTTCGATACGAACGAAGCCGATCTTCGGTCCCATTTCGAGAAGTTTGGCACCATCGAGGAGTGCACAGTGAAGATGGATTCTATAACGAAAAAATCCCGTGGCTTTGGCTTCATTACCTTCGGGACGAAGCAGGCACTAGAGGATGCTATTGCTGCAGCTCCCCACACTATCAAGGGTAAACAAATCGACCCGAAGGCGGCCAAGGCACGACCCGGTGCCAAGAAGGTCAGTGTTGTTACTGTTAATTTCACTAATGATGTGCTGAAATATATTTATTAGCTGTTCTTTGGCAGATTTCGGACTTATCCGGATATTTTATCAATGAAACGTTTGTTTCCCGCGATCTCATTAACAAACTTTTACTTCGTTCGGGTTTTACTTCGTGACAAACAGGTATTCTGCGGTGGTTTACCACCGGAAACGACGGAGGAGGAGATCCGAACATACTTCGGACAGTTCGGTAACATCGAGGCGCTTGAACTCCCTATGGATAAAGAGAAGAACGTACGCAGAGGCTTTATATTCGTCACCTATGAAACGGTGGCAGCAGCCGATGCAGCCGTGAAGAAGCCCAAACAAACGATTAACGGAAAGGAGTGTGATGTCAAGAAAGCGACACCGAAGACCGATAGTAAGTTTGCTCAAGGTACGTTCGCAATAGCTGAGAGAAAACGACATTGTCCTGGGTGCTGCGTTGATTTTGACAGATTCGGCAGCGGCTCTGTTCGTATGGAATTCATAGCACAAGGACAGTACTCGCGTTGATTTATTAACACAACAGACAAAACAATGGACAAAGTCCATTGTTTTGTCTGTGCAACGCACATAACATGATCTCAAGCGTAAAACGTTTTGACTGAAATCAAGTCTTTTTTCACCTAAGACTTTTGGTTAGTTCGCCTTCTCCAATCAGCACAGATTGCGGTCGCTGCAGTATTTAACATACTGGATGCTTTTCTTGGTCTTGGATAGGTTACCGCGGCGGTTGGGGAGGTGGATATGGAGCTATGCGGGGCGGCGGCGGTGGTCGTGGCGGACGCGGAGGTGGTCGCGGCGGGGGCCGTGGCGGCTATGGCAACCAGGGGGGTTGGGGAGGGTATGACGCCTACGGTAGTTATGGAGGCTATGGAGGTTATGACTACGGAGGCGGTTACGGTGGATACGGAGGTGGCTGGGGTGGCCCTCAGGGCGGATACGGAGGAGGTGGTGCCCAGTGGCAACAGGGCGGAAGCTATGGCAAACAAGGCCGTGGAGGTCGCAACGCTGGATACCATCCCTACCGTTAAATCTATTTACGGCGGAAGGACGACACTAGCACATTAGTCATCACTGCGCGTGCGGTGGTTGAACGCGGAAGCCGGTGGACGGAACGGTGGCAAAAGACAAAAATCGACGAGAATACTGATCTGGCGTTCCCGCCTGTCGACCCAGATATCTCGAGGGTATTGATCAATAACAAATATTCTGTTTCCGCCGCGCAGAGCGTCCTCGCTGTGTTTTGTTGTCCGCCAGTGTAAAACATTGCCACCTCATACAAAAGGAAGAGACTTCCACTCCTGCCAACAAACTGCCCTGAGCAGCGCCTATCCCTCTTGAAAACAACAACGATAGTATGCTTCGCTCTCATTAGGGCGGGAACATAGGCGAAGGGCCGTATATGCATAACACATATAGAATAGTTAAAATATAATAATAGCTATAGGGGAATTATGAATATACTGGACTTGTGTGCTCGGACGATCAATTAGGTTTCGCCGCCGCACGTGACCCAATTGTCGAACAGCGTAAAATTCGCCAGCGACAAAAAATACAATTATAGAATCAGACACAAACCAGGCAGACACGCACCGTTCATTTAGTCTAAAGAAAATAATCGTATTATACATCGTATCATACGTTCGCGATGCAGAAAATCGACAACCAATGACTAGGTGCCAAGATGAGGGCCACGGAAATAAGTGAAAATTTATTCCAAACAGCAGCAACAAAAATATACCAAGTGCACAATCATATTATCTAATATATGTATATATATACATACATACGTGCATGCATACATACACACATAACATGCATACATACATGCGTACATACACAGAGTACAACAAGTAAAATTTGGCTGGAGGCTGGGTGAACTTGGTTGAGCTTATTGCTAATGTCTACCTTAATTAACCGAGCAGTAATAAATCATAATTAGGAGAAATTTGCCGATTCGACCCAAATGGCGCGGTAAATTATTACAGATGAAAAGAAATAGTGCCGAATCAACTACCTGTATGAACAACACACTTTCCCAATCTCTTAGAATATGCATATACGTATGCCTTACGATTGCTGTTGGTCCACGTTGGTTATTTATTTCTCTCAACACAGGTTCAACTGCAACAATAATTAACTGCTATCACGGAAGTATCACCTAATATTGATTAATAATAATGATGATGAAGCTAATGACGACCCATGACTAATTTAGCGAAGACGAGATGAGAAGAATCCGCAAACAGCAGAAAAACGTGTAAAGACATCCTGCGCTTAAGTTGCGGATAAGCGATTTGTATATGTATATAATGTCACAACCTGTAAGCTAAATAAATTAAGCCACTCTAACGAAGCAGCGTAATCTTTGTTACTTCCGTTTGCATTTGAGGATCGGTATATAGATTTCATTAGAAATATAACAAAGCAGAGTCTAGCTTAGCCGTTCGAGGCCGAAATATTAAATCTTTGTCGATTATTTTTACTTTTTCGTCACTGTGTAGGTTTATTTACGTTTTCATCATTTACGCTAATGTTGACAAACCTGCTTAAGCATAAGACAACATGCGTACATTTCAGTGTACGTGATCAGTGTCGAATCAACAATAAGTTATTCGAAAGCGTTTTTTTTTCCCCAATTTTTGTGGGTTTCGCTAACGTGCTGTAGACTCAAGCGGTTCAGTGAGTTGACGTGGTGTTCGAAGTGTGATGAGACACGAAAGACCTGATGATACTACGACTGCCGGGCCACTGTTGCGCCAAACAATCCGCTCGCCTAGTCAATGGATGGTCCTTGCCGTGGGTAGCTAACAACCTTGTACAAGCATCCTTGATAATCTGGCAGAGTTCGTGCTCATTCTGCTCATTCCCCTTGGACAATACTTCGGAAGCAATAACCGCCAGCCGGAAACATAACACGCTCACGCACGGTCGGCATTCACCGTACGTCAATCTAAAAGTTGCATTGAGGATAAGAATTTTAACTAATGTACCTTAGGAGTCCTAAGGTTTACAGGACTTAATTGCTAAGCGCTTATGTTTGCTGTTCTTTACTTTTATAAAATATGTAAGGTAATCCCTGTTATATAGGGTTGCATTTCTTGACAGTTTATGTGAACGTTGGGAATCGATGCTTGTTGAAGCTTCGTTGATGTATATTTCAAACAGAAATCCATACCGCTATTAGAGCGAATGGTGCAATTTCAAACAGATATATTCAAGGCTTCTCAGGAATTTCAATGCTTATATGCGGCTATGTTTCGCGTCACGAAATGGTAATTTCCAAAATTATGGTAGTTAATTCTTCTATACCTGTTACCTCAAAAATTACATGACTTGCTTGTGAAAGTTTGTGAAAATGTCTACCATTCGGGATACTCTTAGTGCTGGCAACACATAACAAAGTATGAATTTCACTTTGTTACGAACATTTTTTATGTTTTTTAGTATGGTATTTTAGGTTTTATTTTGTATGGTTGAATATATCGCAAACTTTATCTACTGTATTATTTAGATAATTCAATTCTATCGTTCAGTACAACTGCAAAACAACAAAATCTATGTGTGAGCTACTGAAATAGATAATAGTCGTTTATATACCCACTTCAACTAAAAGCGAGACAAAAACAACTGAAAGAAGATTAGCCCAGACACCATCCGTTCATTAACATTTCGCAAGAACATGTCCTGTATTAAGTGTAAAAAAGAGTATCAACATCGTTGACCTATATAATGAACCTTTTCTATACAAAAAAACCGGATTAACCTGCACACGGCATAACAGCTTGGTTGTAACTCATCGGTCGATTTACGATTAATAAAAGGACAATGGAAGAGGATTTCTATTGGAAAAGGTTTGAAGTATTGTACATGTAACTGAATGTCCTAATCCCAACAGATAATTGCCATTTGTGTGGCTTGCATTGGATATAAAGTCGAATCTATTACGTATGGTAAAAACGCTAACTTGAAATTTGCCAGGAGGCGAAGGCCGATTTTAAAAGCTTCTGTTTGCCTTCGATGTGGCAAACGTTCAGCGCATTCGAATGCAACAGCTAGGGCATCGATTTTCCAGAACTTTAAGGTGCTTTCCTTTCCAAGGGCAATCTCATCCGAATCATCTTGTTCAATTAGCGAACGTGCCTGGACAAATGAAACAACAAAGATTAAAAGTTAAAGGTGAACCAAAAACAACCTGTTACAGGAGACGGAAATGTCTGTGCCTTTACCTTTTGAATATTACGTTGAGAATTGTATACCATTGAAAAATTGTAATACAAATAACATTAGGTTCTAAGTAAAGCTAACTGTCACGCGACGCGTCATCGAACATTTAAGTAGGAGTAGGTTGTCTATTATTGGTGGTGAGCATCATACGTATATCATCATACATCATACGTATATCTCTATTCTGGATGAACTTTAATTGCGTAAACACGGTTAAATTTAAGATTCATAATTTTCTGTGCCAACGATTCTGATTTATTTCACTTACGCGGGACATTTTACCTAAAAAGAAATATTGCTTTTTGCCTTAATTTGTTGCAATTTACTATTGAACAATATAGAGCTAAACCAAAAGTGGCTTTGTTACGCGTAAGCCAAAATAGAAGGCAACTGAAATAACTTCAGCCTTTTTCTCCCAACCCGTTGCTTTCGAGCTCACCATATTTCCTTTGTTCTGGTACAAAATGTCTCGAGTTGCCAAAAATAATGGAGTTGTTTTTTGTTATAAGGTAATTCCGGTACGTCGTATTTTCCTGACACTTCTTTCGTTTAATACCAGGATACGATCCTGTCTAGCCTTCAAAGAAATATATATATTTGACACTTGGCCATGAAAAAATTGTTTTCTACGAACTCACTCGTTGGTAAACGCTGTCTAGCTGAACAGCATCAGATTCATTTTCGCCATGAACACATGCCGTCAAAGCACCTCGAAGTGAATCCCTAATCGATTCCTTCACCGCAGAGATTCTGAATATTAGAAATTTAAGCAAAAAAATGAAAGCATAGTTAGATTGCAAATGATGGACATCGACTAAATGGCAGGGAAACCGTTAGGAAAAGTTAATTTTTTTATGGGTTAAGAACGAAATAAAAATACTACGTATGGATATACGCAATATCATATATAGATACGTCTTTATTGATATCTAAAGAAGACATTATAATCATGTAAAGCGACACATAAGATATATATTGGTAAATAATTGTAATTTTATGCAAATATTTACCTGGCCACTCTCCAAGTAAAAGAATCATAAATGCGCTTGGTACAGGAAACTTCAAGGCTGTATTCATGACTTAGCCATTTACATTTTGAGTAGACCTATTCACCATAACATATGCATCGCCTATTAGCGAGTTAGAATATAAAAATACTATGTGATCTTCTATTAACTATGGACAGTTCTAATGGCCTAAAGTACTTTGAAACACTAATGTCATATTCTAACTCAAAAATATTACGCGTTTTTCGTGTAAATCTTTTAATAACTAGTCAAATCGCGTGCCAGGTTAGCCCTAACATTTATGAATATTTTCTTGACCAACCAAACAGGACATTGAAATCATATTCATTCGATAATAATGTATATTGATATAAATATATTAATTTAATCAATAATTATATATTTTATGGTTAAAATTGTGTGCACCAGAACTTTACGGAATTCGCTCGCAACTAATGAATGTTCTGAGAATGAAAGAAGCTATAGATGATGAGGCGACCGAGCAATTCCGGAGCATACCTATTTATGAGATGTTGTTCGTCCGTACAATAAGGACAAGCACAACGAAAAAAGTAGTGCTCTTTAAGAAATGATTGTCGATCTTCAAGGGTCTGGAGAATATCAATGTAGCAAATGTATATCTGAAACGCATATGCAATAAACAGGAATATTATTAGACATTAGTAGAATGCTTATGAAGATCTGAAGATAGATCTTATGACAGTTCCGTCACTCGCTTGGTTTGACTTTTACGTTGACGAGGAAGAATGAGTCACGAACTCACAAGCATGATATCCCGGGTACGAACTTCAACTCAGACTCATCGAATAGCTCAGTTCTTTAATACTTCAGATGCTTCTACGATATATTCACGAGTGAATAAGATTAATAAAACATGCTCCCTGTACAAGACGTGCGTATCCATCTTTGCGTTCCTCTGCGTTATAGCCAACACACTCTTTTGCAAAGATATAGGTGCTGAGACCTTCAAGCCATACAGAAAATATTATGGGAAACTAGTCATCGGAAACAGTTGGTTTTCTTTGGATCAAAAGAGCGATTATTTATGTAAATATGCTCTAGATTAAGTGACGGACAGAATAGCACATTTAAAGGAAATCTGTGTCTGTACCTTCATTGTGTTGTACATGTTTCATTGTGAAGAACTTTCCCTAAATGGCTTTTATATTTGACACATATCCTAAATATGAAGTAACCGCACCTGACGTGGATCGGTGACCACCAAATCTCGACCAGCTCGTATCGAAAGCAGCGCTCCATCAAAAACGAAACCGGCATCAGGACTGCATGAATGATCATGAATTGACGGTCCAATGTATAGTGCTTCTCCTATTGGTTCTAGATATAGACTTTGTACGGAGAAGCGATTGATGATCATCTATACTCGGCAAAAAAACATAGGCAATGAAATCCGAAGCATCCACCTAGCCTTAAAGTAAAACGGTTGCAGCCATTGTATCAAATGTTGAAGTTTCAACCAGTATCAGCCCTCTGTCTTTTATGGCACCGACAAAGAATAGAGATCGTATTTAGTAAGAAGATTTTATTTTACGCTACGTTTAAGGACTTAGTTAAATCTGAATCCAATGCGTTGGATTAATAAGTTTAATTAACTAAATGAAGTCAAGATTAGAACTAGTCTTCTTTTGTTTAGTCTTGACGGATTAAAAAATACATTTCGATGGATACCTTTGGTACGTCCAGGTAGAAAAAAATGAAGCCACATAAATAAAATTTATAATACTTATATATAATTATTGGTCCTTATAATTATTGATATGAAAATCAAGCTAAATTAATTATCAATTATTCTTAACTAAAAGGACTATAATTAAAATATACAGTAGTAATATAATAACAATTATTATAACTATACATGAAATTATGATAGATATTTTTTCTTTAAATATTTCAATAGTTATTGGAGGAATTTTTTCTAAATTTTCATAAAATATAATTCATGTCTTTCTTATACTTATTAACTTAGGTTAACTTAGATCGACATTTATAGCAATGTTTACAAAGATAAATATTATGACAATGTAGCGACAATTCTATTACTCTTCCGAAGACTCGTAGCGCTCTATCTGGATCGGGTTTGAGATTATCCGGAAAAGTGTGAAGTACAAAGGCAAGATATGTCCTAAACCGGGTGTGCACCACGGGCGATTCCTTAATGTCTTCACGGTCTGTAAATGTTCCATCAAGCCAAGTAACTGCCCGAGTTAATCTATGGCGAAAGAATAGGACAGCCGAAAAATTTGTTTTTCTGTGAAGATGTCGTTGTTTTTTTATTTTCTTTTAAAGGCTTAACGCTCAAATTTCGTTTGCAGATACCGGAATTTGCGCGCATCTAAGCGTTTGTCAGAGTAGTGTCAAACCTTAGCCAGCACCCTCTACTTGCACAACCGACAAGATTCACACTTTTTTCTGGCCCTGCGCTGGTACTTGTTTTAATACAACTTAGATTTACTTATTTAATATAGTCTTCTGATGATGCAAATGTTTCCGTCGCTCCAATAGGATAGGTAAACTACTATCATATTAGCAACAATTCGGATCTTCCTCTTCCTCGTAAGTAGACATACTTAACTGGCTTTCTGTGATTAAAGGCGTATTTTTAAGCGAAGCAAAGGTGACGTTTGGAATATTTTCCGAAGGTATCGTGCAGTAACGAAGTATTAGTTGAAAACGTACGGTCTAGGAGATCCTGGAAAGTTCTCCTTTCGCCAGTGAAGAGATTTTCGCTGAACTCGGAGAACTCCCTTCCCTGCAGTAAAAAAAAAAAAAGACAATTACAAAGGAATCTGTTTTTATTAAAAATTGTACATTGTAGCTTTTCTGTTAACAATTTCACGTGATTCATTCTTCTGCAATTCTTCCGGTTCGCTTTGTGCTATATTATATTCGTTGCAATAGGGGACACACATTTCTAATGAAGCTAAACGCGGAAGCAAACAAAGGTGAGGAAATCGCAGGCACTTTTTTGTCTTTACAGATGAATATCTTCATTAAATGGGTGAGCTATACGTGTGCAATCTTATTTAAGATATCCTTACCATGGCCATGGTTTGGCAAGGCCCAAGGTCACCGGCCTTCGCCGTTGCAAAGTTGACAGTCTCATTCGCAGCGGATTTTATTTCTTGAAATCGCTATCTAAAACTTCTACCTAGATTTTTATAAGTCTTTGAGGTAACTACCGGCTTTGCATGCTATAAATCAGGCTGCGGCAAGCGGACGAGATAATGATAGGTTGTTTATAACCTAATTCGGTCGCTCAAATCTACTAAAATGGCTTCTGAAGTTCGGAGTACCATTTTACTTTTTGTCACTCTGGTAGTTTCGAAGACAAGGCTGCAAAGGAACCCGCCTGGTTTCGCTGAACTGAGCAGCGCTCTAACGAACCGATAACTTCCTAATTGTTATAGCTAGCCTACAGGGCTGGCGCAAATAAAGAGCTAAGCTTGACAGCAGCAACGTTTCTCGAGATTAGGCTGAAAAAGCCACCGCTAAACGTTTGGTTATCTCAGTCGGTTGCAAGTATGAGCTCCATAATAATATCCATTCAATGATCGAAGTGAGTTCCCTAAGTAGAGTGTCTCGTCTTAGCATATCGAAGCTCGAATGATACAACTCAATAGAAATCAGGGATTGTTTAACTCACCGTTATTGATTAAAACCTCTAATACCTTGCGAATAACAGTGGACAGAAGAATCACACTTGATAAGTTCTACAAAAAGGCGTTTTAAATCTAGTACTGCATTTGGTGATTGGTTAAATTGTGCTCGGCTAAGTTTAACGATAAATATTAAATGGTTACTCACATGCGTTTTGTACAGAAGTTTGGCGAATAGTCGAAAAGTCACGTCGGGAACTTCGGGGACAAATTCGCGAAGCATAGCGCACTCCACGGCATCGTGGTATTCAGAGTAAATTTTCTGAAGGAGCACTTAATATTTAGTCATCCATACTTGTTGAATCAACATAAGTCGGAAAATTCTCGTAATATATTAGAATGTCTTAGCTACGGGCCTATTGAAACAGATCATCCGCCAAACACGGATCCAATATGCATAATAAAATTGGCGCTGTTTTTAAGCTTGAGCCTTTTGACCTTGTGTGCGTACGGCTAAGGTCACGCACAAAAAATTCGGTTGATGTGCCGAATCGAGAAAATTTGAATTCTATATATCTTTGATAATTTTATCATTGAGTTGAAGCGATATCCTAAGAGTACGGCAGATCTTAACGAACCTGACATTTGAGGCTGCAGTAATTAACAAACGGACAATTGGGACATCGGATAGTTATGGCCCCTTGACTATGGGCTCTCAGATGCACACGATTCGAGGCAGGAGTAATCGTCTTCGGCAGCCTGAAATGTACCCAAAAGGGCCGACTACATAAACATCTACTAGTGACTGGGAAATTTTACCTATAATATAATAATTTCCATTTTTGCCTTTGCCTTGGATAATTGAAAGAGGCATATGCGTCGCGCTCGTAGCGACCACGTTGCGATACATATATGAATTACTTTAGAGCATTCCGGTAGAGGTATTTGTGACTAAGTGACTTTGTTTTTGTGATCAAACATGCTTGATGGCTTATCGCAAGCTCTGTTTAGAAGCTATGACGGGAGCACATTGGTGAGGTTGCACTCAAGCCGATATCGATAGCAGTGCTCGAAAGTTCGCCTTCTAAGTCGGTGTAGTATATAATATAATAAACCGATTATGGAGTGAAAATCGTTAGCAGCACATGGGCAATGGATACGCGCGCTTTTAGAGAAAAAAAAATAAACAATATTTACTAACAAAAGTAATAATAATAATAATAATAACTAGACCAATGACAGATAGGATTAGCCGCATATGTTGATCTTTCCTTTAGAGCGATGCTTCCGTAGTGCTGAGATGTTCAGCAAGCGAACTAGCGGTATCGCGAAAGCGACAATGCGTAAAATAGAAAACTGATTCACTAACTGAATGGAGTAGCATCACAGTTTTCTAAGTTGCCCATAGTTTACTTAAGTAATTTACTTACAAGAAATGTCTAGGTTGCCATTTTGGCTCTAGCCGTCGAAGCTGAGAATGAAACAATAATACATTCAGTCATTTGACTAGCGACTAAAATCTACCAGCAGACCTTCCCCTCTTGAAACGAATCTAATGGGTCCCTTGCATGCGTACGATCATACCACATACCTTCCTAGTCACATTGTACAACTCATATGTGCTGGAATGAGGTGGAGACGTTGCAGATAGTGTGCACTGTTCATCGTGGCGCTCTCAAACCCCGAAGCATGGAAACGAAGTTATGATTACGTCTATTCTGCCAAAGCAGTGAAAGAGCGGACCACAAAGACAGCAGTCTCCACCTCTAGTTGTTCTTACCTTTAGGGTTTTCTATGAACACATGAATAGAAAATCGTATAGTCATCCAATCAATCTTCCAGAAAGGGCGCGGCACGCATTGCCGCTCAGGGAAGGATGAATACACTTGGTATGACAATAATAATAATATACCAAAAACTTTTGTATCGCTTACCGCCTAATACAGGACTGGGCAAGGATCTCTTCAGAGGATGGAAAAAGATGTCGCTTGGCACTTCGCGAACTTTGACACTACTTTTCATTTATACTGTATTTTATTCTCGTACCACTTAAACAGATGTCAGATAAAAATTTACCTTTACTTCTGTTATTGAAATTTTTGCCCTAAGCCAGGTATAGCTAGTGAGGGTAGAAATAGCAATACAGAGAAGTCAACCCTCCGATACTGACGGTTGCATGCATTCGTCGCAGAACTTCCCGGCGAGTTGGGGCTGAAGGGCAGATGCAAATGGATATGCCCTGACGACCTCGTCGCCCCTTCGAAATGTCCACCTTTTCAGAGAATCCCTATTTGATCTGCTAACACGATCACGTTTGCAGATACGCATCACGACTATTTTCAGGCTAGAACACTTCAATCGTGACTAATCTGGAGTTTTGTAGCACACAAGCTGTCGGCGACGGTTGGCCTGAAATTAATTAAACGCGACAGGAAGCTACCATTGACACTTTATTGAGCTTTCAGTTTATTTGCAACGTGTGCTTGTTCACGTATATACTTCGAACTGAACGACGGAAGAAAGAGGAACAGCTAATTAAAGATGAACAATAGATGGTTCAACGTCTATATTTTGTCACTGTTTCCACTCTATGCTTTTGATAACATATATAGCATGTATAGCTGCAATCATGCCAAAAGCAAGCAAAATTCAGCCCATAAATGAACGTGAAAATATATATTTTTTTAATGAAAAACAAAGTATTGTGATTTTTATAGGCTTTGTGAAAGTTTCGGTAATTTTTTTCAGATCTTTCCATTGACAAAACGACCAGTATAAAGCCATTCGTTCTTCTAGAACAATGAAAACAGAGGTTTTCTTACATGCCGTTAGGGTAGCCTATTTATTTTTTATGCGATGAGGGCTTAGTGGAAAAGCGAATGATCGAAGCTCCTACAGTCGGAGATAAACGTGTAGATACAAGTAACTGCACGAGCATCGAGAACGAGTGAAATATCTACATTTGATCAAGATTCATTCAGAAATACAGTTTGATCCGTGCAAATGCAAGGCATGCATATAGTTGGCGATAATAATATCCAAGTAACTATTACCCGTCTTGTAACTTGCGCGTCACTTATGCACAATCAATTTTCTTCTTCCAAGTTATAATTTTACAAATCCAGCACACACTTGACAAGTTTGTTCAGATCACCAAAAGCTGTTCTGAGATTAATATTAAATGGAATCGACAAGGATTTGGTTTTAGCGTAGGACGGCTTTTGTCTTGGTGTTTCAAACACGTCGACAGATTGTGCACTGCTGGTAGTTTACTAGTGCGTCTATCTGCCGTGTGTTTAAACTACGACCGATCTCACCGACCAAAACGTAATAGAGTCACACTGTCTAACTCCCGCAAACGGTTCCGTGACCTCCTCACCAGCCCTCTGAGAAGAGCGTACTTGCCATTTCGCCCTTCTATACACACACAGGTGTATGTATAGATCTACCCGTACACAGTGGCTTGGCCACAAGTACTCGAACACCAACCGGTTTTGAAGGCTTGGCGACCTGACCGCTAGGAAAGAGCCGTGGGGCCAGTGTTGTTTCATTTAATCTATTTGTTAGTTTATAGCACGGCTTTTTTTCGCTGTCCGAAGGTCGCTGCAGACGTACCGTGTTTTTATTCTGCATGTTTCTAGCCCAACGATAGTGGAAATGGTTCATGTCGAGAGCTCCCTTCCCAGAATTATGATATAGGCTCTATGGTAAAGAAATGTTCGTCTGCCAGACTGTGCTTTCAAATAATGCTTCCTGCCCATATTTATCTATGGCTTCCAAGCTTACCTTTGCTTTAAAAAAAATAGTCCATACATACTTTCTTAAAGAAATATGTCTATATACATCATGCCGTAGCTTGCGACCTGTTATAACATGTTGTTGTTCTGTTAACAGATTATCCTTTTACTAACAGGGTGATCATTCCGTAATGCTTATTAAACTGTTGATGACATCGTAAAAAACTACCGCTGAATCTGAATATTACTTTAACTAACGACTTTTGCTGATGGACCTGTACGAATGTCCTTGTTCTATCTTTATGTGCTAATCGTGCGTATTAGTATGCTGTAAGATTTCATAGTTCTTACGGTTACCGTTCAGTTACATAGGTTCAGGGAATTGTCCGGAATATGTCGTTTTGTTGAATTAACATAGTCTCTATGGGTAATAGGTACAAGGTGTTGTCATCGGTTGATTCTTACGAATATGCTGTTGCACGTTAATTAGAAAAGTATGATAATGTATCCCGCAACGACTCTACGGACCTAACAACCAGGTACTGTTCGCTATCTTGCGGACCCAGACACGTAGAGAAATCATTATTTGACCCAATAAATAATGAAGTAGACAACTATAATTACAAAGCATATTAACTTTTAAACTTGTGTTGAAATGTCCCGGTTGACGCTCATTCCACACATTGACATTGGCCATTCAAGAAACACTAAGGAAAAGCTTGGCTTTGATGTATCCAAATCTAGCACGTGGCAAATAGGGCTGTTTTGTTTAATACCTAGTTGTAATTATCTGTAGTGAGGTCCTTTAATAGGCCCAGGAAGAAAGTAATTACTTTTATTCTGTTTTGCCTCGTTTCAATGGTAAAATTGCGTTATCTTTCTGCGACTGTCTCCGCATCAGAAATTCACCTGCTGGAGACTCAACGTATTTTCCGGATACTGTTAGCACAGATTAATTCTATGGGCCCTAAAGGATTACGGGTCAAGAAGTCCAACAAAACTCTTATTTTGCCATAACTAAATTTTGTTGGTTATCTATAAATCAGCATACCGATATTTAAAATCAAAATGAACCGCATGGTAATTGGACCTCCGGGGTATTTCGAAGACATCCTGAGACCTCAACTCTATTTGGTACATTGGTACGTAATCGGCCAAAGCTCACGTTTGTAGTCATTAATTGAAGTAAACGAACTCAATAACGGCACGGCTCTCACACAGGAGGGCTATTCTTTCCTTGAGTGTTTTAATTTTACTTTTTTTTTTGGCCTGGCCAGTGGCCTCAGCGTTCTAGGCCTTCCGAAGGACACGTATTCGTGATGAGTCTGGAACGATTCTACTTGTCGCTAATGCTATACTACTACTTGATTTTATTTGTAAGACAGCTCGGTACAAGTTTTTGTGCTGGTTCTGATGCGTAGCTTATGCCCAAAACAAAGAGCCCAGGACAAAGGGATGGGTTTACAACAAAAATGAGTATCCTTCTCGGAAACCGAGTCATTGCGTCGCCCTGTTTCACCTGTCCATCGTAGATGCCAGGTAATAACGCGACCAACACAACGTCTGACCATCGCGACACTACGGAGCCGGCAGCACTGCATAAGTCCAAGTAGGTGACGAAGTGAAAAATATGGGATACTAGAGCAGTACGGTTTTAATGCGATTATTGCAGTTATTACGTACTGTAAGTGAGCAAGAATTCTGTTCGGATTACGTGATAAGTAAAATCAGGGACAGAAATATCTACATTAAAAAACGTTGCAGTAAGACTAGATACGGCACGCTCTGAACATCACAGTCTGAGTCAACACAAGCCCTGTGTTTAACGCCATTTTGTTGACTTAATTATTAAGGTCAATCATTGCCCCTAATGGGCTTAGCTCTGTTGTACGACTATACTGTTTTTTCATTTTAAAATGAGAACTGCATCCTGCTTTATAATTTCGAAAGCCACCATATTTACGTACCTACCATACGATGGAGTGAAAAGCCCACAAAAGATCGCATGAAACTATGTGGATAGCATCATAGAGTACTTTGCCCTGCTACCTTGAGTAAATTTCAAGCCCGAGCCTAATTCACCTATCTTTCTTCTCTAATATGTCGAGCAGCTAAAATTGACTGTAGGAGATACTAGCTAAGATTTTTCAAGAACTATTACTCTGCCATTCATCTGCACCTCTTATATGTTTCGAACATGTTAAACCAGTATGGAAAAAAGCTTGTCGTTTAGTGGTTAATGACAACGAAGTAAGAGTGGCATTAGTCCACGTAAATACGTTATCATAGTGGTTGACGTTAATTTAATTGAGAGTAGGCCACGTACCAATAGATGCAACGAAATATATCACTGTGAAACCATTCAGAGTACTACGTCGACGGACTGTGTGTTAGCATGCGGCCGATAACCCAGAAAAAATACAACAAAAGCTGCTTATCTTAGTTTCAGAGTCGCACCTAATTCACTCAGGAAAATAGCCACGGCTGCCCGTAACGGTTGATCCATAATTGATTTGTAAATTCTAATGATTTTTGGAACGAAATGGTAAAAGTAAGGTCCACGACCATTCGAGGAACAGTCTCAACGATAATAAAGACGGCGGCGCGCATGGTAGCAACGACGAGGTCCTTTTTCAACATTTTAACTATATTTTTAAAGAGCCTAAATATATATATATATATATTGGAACGAGTGCACACTACCATTCACAGCAGTATTTATCAACTTCAAACTTACAAGTATGAGGTTTTGTCATGTCGAACTAGAGTAACTGGACTCGTAGGCAGGCCAATTGAGATTTTGTCGGAAGAGTAGAAACAGAGTACGCAAGGACAATTACATCCGGTCGCAGTTAGTGATATACTAACTGACAATTTTCCCAATAGTTGTATCCCCCAATGAAATATCCAGTGTTTATAGTTTATTGCTTAGGATGTGGTTATCGATTTCAGCCCAATTGACGCGCATTTTTTTATCCACTTTAGTACTTGCTTCCCAATCGATTTTTATGCAATTTCTTTTAGAAATATTCAAGACCTACTCTTAGACGACAATCATAACTGTATGTAACATCTTTTTCCAGAGTAATGGATGATATTCCAATGATTCCAAATGACGCAGTTTCTCTACTTACGAAAGAAAAACTTTTAGAGCGTTTTACTCCGTATGACTACACCATAGTCGTCCTGATGCTAGTGTGTTCCGGAGCCATTGGCCTGTATTGCGCTTTTGCAGAAGGTCTCCAAAAGACAACACGCCAACTTCTATCTGCAAATGGCCGACTCTCCCCAACATTTGTTTCGCTATCGCTAACAGCGTCCTTCATTTCCGCCACGTTTGTTCTTGGGAATGCTGCCGAGGTAGGTTACCCTAATAATGTTACCTACCCCATTAGTTTGGCTATACAAACTGTAAGTGATCTACCATCAAAGGAACGGTCAAAAATTTACGCAGCCGAACCCGAACAAAATGCTCAGTAACATTAGATAAGTTGCGGAAGACATAAAGCATATTTGTGCAAAATGCGAAATCTTCGCTTTTTTCATTAAAAACATCTTTCGAATTAGTTGTCTTCAAGTGGACAGTGAGCTAATAATCATCATCATAACTCATTCTCGCTTCCACCCGGGGGCCCGCCTAGCAGAGTAGACTGTTTGTATTTTCAACCCCCACAGTTGATAATCGCTTATACGTAAACCACATATCGCTTCCCAAATACTACCGATAATGATATAATCATTAATTCTATCCGTTCTTTCTGAATGTGTACTAATTAGGTGTACCAGAATAGCACGATGATCTTCGTAACCATTGGGTCATACGTTTTCATGCTGGCAACAACGGCTTCATTTTTTGTGCCGATTTTCTATGAATTGGGCGTAAACACATGCTACCAGTATCTTGAGTTGAGGTTCTCCCGATTGGTTCGAATGGCTGCCGTCGTACTATATATTATCGAGATGCTGATCTACATGTCGGTATCGTTGTACGCCCCAGCGCTAGCTATATCTAGTAGTAAGTAATCTTCAGACCCCCTGATCAATTAAATCATACTGAGTATTGCGTATATTGACCCGAAACTAGGACCGAATGCGTTTTAGTCATCGTCCGAATTGTGTAAAAAGTAAATGAGCAAACACGGTAAGATATAGGTATGGCTTTTCGCCATAAAAAAGTACTACCGCCATAAAAAAGAGTACCGAAGTCTTCGAATTTATGCAATACAAAAAAAAAATCTGATTAATGATGGTGTTGTTGCAGTAACGGGAATAAAATTATGGACAACCGTGTGTGCTATCAGCATCGTGTGTACTCTCTATACATCTGTTGGCGGAATCAAAGCAGTAGTCTACACAAACGCATTTCAGTTGGTTGTTATGCTCATTGCGATGATCGTCATTGTGATCTCTGGATATGCTCACCTCGGCGGCTTCAACAGGGTTTGGAAAATTGCGGAGCGTGGGAAGCGAATTCATTTTACCGAGTTTGTAGCTGTTCCTTTATGAGTGAAGTCGTCACGATGATTTGCTCTTGTGATATTTTTAGATTGGCTGCAGTAACGGTCCCTTTCATACTTTAGCCTTACGTAGGAGTGTAATGAATAAAAAAAAAATGGTACCATATACCTTTTGTCAAAGGCAAATAACTAATGTACATTACTTATTTGCTTAATAGATTTAATGAACACTTTCTTGTCGCATGTGCAGTCATTTTACTTGACCTTTCACGGTTTTCAATGTTATCATATTTAAGCGACCTTAGTTAGTATAGTTGTTGTGTATCTTCTTATCAGCGACGTAACCTGTCGTCAAGGTAGCGGCGTGACGTCATTTGTTTTGAGTGTTACCAGGAAAGTTAACGAGGTTTTCAGTTGAAGGTTACGAAAACTGAATCGTTGTCAAAAGCCTTGATTTGACCGGTATCGTGAATTGCTTGACGTCTGCTAGTCACTTACGTCTCTTACGGTAATTATGTGCAAGCAGTTTTCGCTTTGACCCTACGGTTCGTCACACCGTATGGGGTCTCGTGATAGGGGCAGCCATCTCGAACATGGGTTCCTATGCTACTAACAACATGATGGTGCTTAGATACTTCACTGTGTCGTCATTAAATGCTGCCAAATGGTGAGTATCATTAGCAAATAGGTTTCTGTCGTCGTTATCGCCGGCCGTTATTACCAGAATGTCTCAGACCACCAATTCACCGTAGCTTAGGTAACAACCTGTTATATAAAGCAAAATTGATCTGCGCAAACCCAACAGGACACTTCTGTTTCTGTAGATGCAGAGAGCCTGATTTCTATATAGTGCTATGCATTTCACAGGACTTACGAATTTTCGTTATAATGATTTCGTTAAATTGTTCTCGTTTAGAAGATTTCCGTTGGCGCGACACCGGAAACGCTCTATTTATGATTGTAGATGTGCACAGATCTGAGAATTTCATTGAATTATAGCAATATAGTCTTACTCGCTCAGGTTTAACTTTGTTAATCAATAGTTCATCAGTTATGTATGATTCGAAAGAAGTTCTCTCAAATGTGTCATGGTTGCAACCGATGGAAAGAAAGAACAGTGTTCTATAAAGTAGAAGCGAGGTTTAATGACGCATGTTCGGCGGCATGTTACCACTGATACGTGTATGGGCAAATGTAAATATGCTGACTTAGGACAGCGTATGTGCATATGTAATTGATCTGGTCTTCAGGGCTGTATGGATGAACTTACCTTTGCTTGTGGCAGTCCTTTCATTATCATGCTTATCGGGCCTTCTTATGTTCGCACGCTATCACGCTTGCGATCCGATAGCTAATAAACAGGTAACGTCGTCAGACCAGCTGCTTCCGTATTTTATTTTGGATGTTCTCGGAGCCACGACCGGCATGTCAGGTGTGTACCTATAATGTCATGCGAGCCTATTTATGAAGTACTGATATGCAACCTAGTTACACAGTTAGCTGCATTGTAAGCCTGAGTGGTTTATCGACCGCTGGAATTAGAAAAAAATTAATTTTAGCATTATACTTGCCAATCAGATCGTGCGGCCTCGGCTTGTTGCCTACCCAGCGTTGTTAATTGTGATCTCCGCGTTACCCAATTGAACAGGTCTATTTGTGGCTGGGATATTCGCCGCTTCATTAAGTTCGATTTCTTCTGCGGTGAATGCACTTTGCAACGTCTTCTACATTGACATCGTCCTGATTTGTTGGCCAAGTATTTCCTCTGAGACCGGAGCAAAGGTACGATCGCGTTGGGTGCACTAATGGTTGAAATACGTTACCTGCATCTAAGTGGTTGCAAGTGCGATGCACCGTTCGAAGCGTTTGACGCGAACAATAGCCGACGGCTTCTGTGACGTAATCCATTGGGTCTATTTTTTGATAAATTTCAGTTGGGTTCATGAGTCGACCCATTGTTACTATTGCTTCAATACAACTAAAACGCAAATTCGAAATTTTGTGCGTATGTTTAGGTGATTGTCGGTCTTGGAGCCGTGTTCAGTTTGTTGGCAATTATTCTCGTAGTGGGAACTTCGTCAATGGGCCAGGTCCTTCCTGCCACCGTCGCTATAAATTCGAGTGTTGGTGCACCTCTCTTCGGATTGTTTTTTGTTGGGATATTTTTTCCTACGGTATGCATTTTATTTAGCAGGATGCTAAGTGGAAGGATCACTTTTATTATTATTATTTTCATTTATTATTATTAATTATTTAATTATTATTATTATTATTTTTATTATTAAAATTTTTTAATTATTATTATTATATTATATTATTAAAAAAATAATAAATGAAATTAACGCGATAGGTACGAGGGTGACTATACGAAATTGTAGACATATTTAACGAGACTGGCAGTGTCTCTCACGTAGTTGGTCGAACAATTTCATTGAGAGCTTGTCTTCTGAGCTTTTATTTCGAAAATGCACGTTTTGCTAATGATTTTATGGCTGCAATATAGAACCCGCTTTGCCAGATCTATAAGCGATTACATCGCCATATTCTAGCGCAGGTCTTTACTTTTAGGTCCTTGTTTGCTTTGATCTTTGTGCAAATCTTTCGGTTTCGTGCTCGAAGGATTTGCTATGAGCGGATGATATGTACTTTCGGTAATAGCACACAGTCCCTTTGGTTATATGCAGGCTTTTAGGCAAACGCGAACATCAGGAAAAGCACTTCGTTTTCTGCATAAAATGACGGAAACATCATTGAGCTCTAAAACAAGTACGATATATGGGCTAGTACATTGACATGCTAACGATTACCTAATTTCGAGTTAGTTTCATTGGCCTATTGTAAAAATACCGAAGGTCCTTAAATCATAATAGAGAATGTCCCTCATCATTTACTATACGTTGTTTAAGGCGCATAGAATGTCTAATTAAGCCCTGCGCTAAATCTACCGAACTATTAGAAGTGATCGACGCGATCTAGATTAGTCATTGTTTTTCTCTGCCATTTAATACAAACAAAAGATTTGGCCAAACAGTATGGAGGAAAGCTCCTGAATTGCAGTTTATGCTGATGCTTCGCCATTCTTCTTTGTTTGTTAGGTTACAACGTTAGGTGCGCTTACCGGCTTCGTCGTTTCTCTGCCAATTTCGCTCTACCTAAATATGGCGCCGATCATTGCTGAAGTCCAAGTTTGTATAGTTCATACAACTGGGTTAGATTTTATATTACTGATTTGTTAGAGGAATTTAACTCCAGTCATATCAGACCATTATCCGAGCTTTCATTAAGAGCGACTAAGAAGTATTGAAAGGCATACACTCTAATGCAGCAGGGGCCGAAGTACAATTGATGTGATTACTTTTTATAAATATTAAACATGCTTTAACAATCTTCATTTCATACTTCAGGCGTTTACGCTAACTCATTTAACAGTGAGGAGCTGCGTAGAAAACTTTCCATCGGCCAATTATTCAACCACAGTCGCGACTCCCTTAACTGCAGAGGTAAGTATTTAAACAAAATGCAAAATTGGAGAATTTTCATCTTTCGTACCATTAAAGTGTCCTTCGTTCCCATATATCGTATTTGTTGTCGATTCATTTTCTTACGTCGTTGCTGACAAGCACGATTCAGAAACTGCTTCAAAGTAAGATTGCAATATTTCTACCTTTCGTCGTGTGAGTTCGGTACCTCAAATCCGCAGAGAGTGACTCTCGGCAAGCCTTCATTGACTGTATCTAATAAGATTTGATAATCTAAATTGAGGTGACAGCCAATATAAGTTGTTGTCACAACCAATAAGAGATATTCGGCTGCGTAAGCGTCATCAAGCAACAACTTGTATCCAATGATCGGAGCTTTTTTCCTTCAAAGATAGCTAAGTATTTTAATAACATCTATTATTATAGTTATTAAATGTTTTGAAAAAAAAAATGCAATTCACGCAAACAGATTGGTTTTCTTTACGGACAAGAAACATTTTTCAATATTGTACATATAAACCGATATCTTCGCGCAAAAATTTTGATTTATCAGTCTAATTCCAACATGGTAACTGTTTTGGTCTTTGTTGTTTCAGAATCTTCCATTCATATATCGGCTGTCCTATTTGTGGATGTCGAGTATATCCGTTTTTATACAGGTGGTCGTGTCTTTACTTGTTAGCAAAATAACCGGAAGCAATGACCCAACGAAAATGAACCCCAATCTTATCTGCACGCCGTTCGACAGTTGTCCATGTTTATCAGACGAAATCAAAACTATTTTAAATTTTGGTGTTGGGAAACATTTTGACGTTGTAAGTGGAAAAAGTTTTGTAGCCAGCATGAATCGGCTAACCATCGGAACTCACTGAATCAAAACCAACAATGATCCCGAACATTATTTTTTTTTTGTTGTTTTCTTTTCTTTTTTATTTCGACATGTTCGATTTACAGCTAGCCTGTGTATAATTAAAATAAGTAATTCCTGTGCATATCATCAAAATCGCTATATTCAGCGAACATAAAATTAGGTAATGAAAAAAAATGTAAAAAAAGAATTAACTATTTTTTTTTGGCGAAATACGTTAGTTTACACACTTTTCGTAACAAGTTACTTTTTTGGAAGTACGGTCATGATATTGAAAGGCGTTCAATAGGTGTCTCGCAGAGGGTGTTCCTTTGAATATTAACTCTGTCACCTAGCGATTCAACACCATCACGATTCATAATGACTTACCACAAAAATGATCTATAATAATTTCTAGGATCTAATAATAATTTTCAGGATGGCACATGGAAACTAAGATAAATAATAATGCTAAGTAGGCTTAAGATGATATGTACCTAAGACTGTACCTTCACAAAAACATTTAGATGTAATATTTTGTATATCCTAAAGGAGTTAATTCTGACGGACATTTTTATCGCGAAAACTTCCGTCCACGTCAATTACAGCTTCAATTCGGGACCTAAACTAAACATAAAGTTGTTCCTTAACTTACTTAAAGATGTATTAATTTTTTTCGGGTGGTGCATCTACCCACTGTCGCATAGCAGTTTGTAAAACACGCGGATAAACATGTCTAAGGTCTCCTTCAACGGAATTTACACTCAGAATACGCACATTAGCAGCGAACTTTATTTTACTCATATCAAGCGCATCCTTTGGATCGATGATAACTATTCTTTCGATAGGAAAGAATTTACGACAGTCTACTGCTTCAGTCTTAAGAGGTATGAGGAAGAGACGATGTCAAATAGGTCTCTGAGCCTCAGCGATTTCAAAGTATCTTCATGATATCTGTGACGTAAGCCGTACCTTTTGTAAATAGCCAGTGCCCTGGTCGCTATACTTGTGACCTTTTCATTAGCGAGGCAGATGGATTGGCCGAAATGAAGTAATAGTAATAATATCGATTAGGTTTCGATGTCTGCAGTGTACTTCACTGTCGCGGAATGTTAGTTGTATTGTGTGAAAGAAGAATCTTCTTTCTCTACAACGTATACTCTTTTTTCACCAGACGCTAAATTACTGATTACCAATACTTATTATTGAGCAATAAGGCTTCATTTTGTGCCATCATGCATTGCTGAGACGTTAGTAAACACCGAAATCATGTGAAAGTCACATGCCCGTTTTTGGTAGATAATGTGAAAAGAGTTCTATTAAGCCAATCCTACGATCACTCCTTTCAGTTATCTCGTGCCGAAGCTGAGAAATTAACCTTTGGGGACGTATTGGGTTCAGCTAGAATGAAACGACCTGAAGTAGAGGAATCGAGTGACCTTACGACTATGCCAAGCGAGAGCTCAGATACTATAACTAACATCGGATCCCGAATTTCCTGAGGCAAAGAAGTATCTGATATACGTAAAGAGCAATCAGCGTATTAAAACCTACCCAAGTGGTGTTGTAGATTTTAACGTGTATAGCTGATTATTCTTTTACTTACTTTTTGTTACATTTGATTTGTATGTATGTATATATGCATATACATATATACATACATACATACATATATACATGCCTATATACACGTATACACATAGTTTAGCGTGTACTCTACTGAGACTCGAATGTCAAAACTTAATTCTCATACCGTGTTTCCGTACGTTTTCCGATTTGAATGATGGTGATCCAGGTGTTTGTGGCCTATATGATATAAAATGTATCGTGGATTAGCAGGAAACGCGATTTTTATCAACATCTTTCAACGGCAATATTTCGGGCTTATATCGAATTAAAATTAACGATGAAATGATTCAGTGATGACGATTTTATTTAACTAATGCTCCGTAATGCTTTATTTACTTATGCTTGTACTTTATTTAACTAATGATTCGTAACCGTTCTGCTCCGGTCGCAATAAAAGACGAAACTCCAAATGCTAATTCCGCAATAGAATTTAACAGAGGTGACGGCTTTTCCGAAAAATCTAAACCTCTATCCTTTTTTAGGCAAGCCGTACAAGCAAAGCAAGAGCAAGGCTTTCGCTCTCGGAAGCCTTGCTCTCGAAAGCTCTTTTTCAGCCCATTTTTTTCCTGAGCAATTGTCAAGCAAAAAGCGGGCTTTCGTCATTAATATCAGCGCATGTGCCAGGTAATGGTATCCTTCGCTGGGTTTATAGACCTTAAGTACGCTCATGGTTCGCTTTCGTTGCGAAAGCATAGTTGTACACTAGCTTTTGTCACTTCAAAATTTCAACACGAGGCACTGCGGTATAGTCAATATTATAAATAATCAATGAAGTTTTACATTTTCAGTGCTAGCGGTACGAGCTTTAGTGATCCCTCTAGTGGCTAAGGGTTCTAAATAAAAATGGGTTTTGGAGAAATACGCTTTAGCATGACTGGACCGTTGTTTAGCCGAAAAAAGCCATTAGGAAACTGGGCGAAATTTTGCTTAAATTTTCTTATTGTTATGAAACTCCGGTCTTCCTACGATGATGTGTATATATATATATATATATATGAGCGAGAATAGTTTAGTTTAGAGTTATTATAGAGGAATGTTTATAATGTTCGTCATAGATTTATACCTATTATCATACGCTGTTTATCAAAGTTTTAGCGTAAGTTTCATGACAAATTGATTATAATAGTGTACCGGTGTTTCCGGTGCGCTTATATCTATACGTAAGCTTTTCAGTCGTGTACCATCGCCTGTTACTTAGTTTGTAGGGCTAAGTATAGGGGTTTATTTTGTTTGCTACACTCAAGTCCATCTAAAGGACATCATGGGCAGTATGACAATGGACTATTGGCTCCCGTCAATTAAAACATTCTATACCGTCACATATTATACTTAATTTTTTTTACAGGTATAGCACTCAGCAACAACAGTACAAAAAGGTCAAGGCATTTTTGTGCATGTAAATGTTCGGTTATTAGAGTCATGCTCTATGGGGCCCGCCTGCGGATTATTGCTGACAATAAGGTGGCAAAGCTGTTACGCTTCTTGAATCGCGTTTGTTTAGGAATTACTGCGAAGCTTAATTCAGATCAAGCTCTGGGAAAACAGCCGAACATCACGCGACGGAGCTCAATCTTTAGCGCTGTAATCTGCTAAAGCTGCCCAGCCCTCCGTCCCCTTCACATTATCATAAATCTAAAAGGTTGTTGCAAACGCTCCGTTACCATCGGAAACAGACCTATCTATGTACTATGATCTACATGCCCTCATAAAGTGAGACAGTCCTACACACACTAATCAGATGGTAGTACGTCGTGCAAATCTATTCAAAGAGCTTCCAGAGAAGCCACATATACTCTGACCTAAAAATAAATAATAAATAGGTATATCGGTTCAATTGAAGAGATAACAAAAAGATTAGTTTCGTAAACATCGCCGAACATTTTTGATGCGGAAGATGTATATGGATATAGATACAAATGTAAATCAAGACTGCAGTAGGTGTCTCAGAAATGTAATTATTTTTTTCCTCGTTTCTAAGAATACCATTTTTGTTTAGCTTAGCAGTTGGCTAACCATATCTCTGCTTTCTCGTGGAAACTTTGTAGAAAAATTTTTGCAGCAAGTAGGGGCAAAGGCATACCAAAGTATCCTTGACAATTTGGTTACATATGGCGTTTTTAGGGACTGATTAATTTGTAGTACGATAGGAAAAAAAATGGCCGAATATGAGCATCTGAAAATATGGGCTTTAAGTATTCTGTGGGTTTGTTTACACATATATCATTATTATGTTTTGGAAATTGTTTTTCCTATTTATTGCGCCTTTCTATTATTATCATTATTACATTAGTAGCCACGACCGACAGGGATTGTTTACAGTTTGAAATTGATGTGCGGTACAGTTTGGGCGATTTAAGGTTACAAGCTCACAACATAAACATTAGTTAAGGCAGAACTTATTTTGGATCTTCCCAGACAGTTCAGCCAAATATTCAATCCAATATTCAAAGAAAGCGCGTTCAAACAGGTCCCTGATTCCGACTCTTTGGAATTCGGCGTAATTGTTTTGGCAAGGATGTTTTCTATTTATACGCAAGTAGCTCTACGCCGCAACTTGATAGCGGCATTAAAACCCATAATTAGTCGCGACTTAACAAGGGTTACCTCGGACTCTTTCGTATGTACCTCGTAAGAGATCAAGTGATTCCTGGCCCATGAAAAAAGTGCAATAGCTCGCTCGGTAACCTTTGTTAGTTGAAAAATCGGTTTTGTCGGTTCTTGACTTAAAATTTGAAACAGTTTTTTAAAGGAATATTTAAAAGCAATATATTTAAATCATGAATATTTGAAATAAGTTTTATAACATGTAGATATCGCCCTTTCGTTTTACTTTTAGATAAATTAAAAAAAAATCGTAACGTAAAAATACCGGAAACTGATTTTAATAACATGTCTGAAAATAAAAGGATTATCTTCACATGATAAAATATATGATTTAATCATTTTTACTACTTTAAAGTAAAGCAAGTTAGCTTAAACTTCATTGGGTTCATATATATATATATATATATATATATATATATATAATATATGAACTTAATATTAAATACTATGTTATTATAATGGGTTCATATCCTAAGAATGATAATTCCTTTATAGAGAATTATATCTTGGGTAAAATTATTGAGGGTTACTTTTTTAGCGTTGTCTTTTTTTTTTTTGCTTTTTCATCTGAAAGTTTTAAAAGATGAAATTTTTCCATCTTTCCCGGTATAATTTCAAAATACTTTTCTGTTCTGCAGTACGGATATCTCTTAAACAGTCGTTGCTACTAAGTAACATATGATTTAATCACATTTGAATCATTTGTTATGTATGCTGATCTTCTCTCGCTGCTAACTCTCCTACTGCGCGCTCTTTCGCGTTTTCTTAGTATTTTTCCTTATTTTAATGCTGGGATCAACCCCATTCAAACTGCAAGTATGGCAAGCCGACTAATACGCGGAAATCGTACCGAGGTAAATCATATTGACGTTTTAATCAAAACTTTGGTAATAGTCGTGAAGGGGTAATCATGTATTGGCCAGCCTTGGCTTGTTTTTATCCAGAGTGTAATCCCGCAAAGTTTACACTCAAACAAGGCAACAGGGCCGCAGTAAGCTGTCATTATCTGAAGTGGATCTAGGACATACAGGCTTGAAGAATTTTTGTGTAAGAGGCGAGGCATCCCCTTTATTATCTGTTTGTTGTTTTCTGATAGGCATTTTGGATCTACTCAACTTCCTGTTGTCAAGTCAAAAAGAGCAACAAAAGTAGCGACATCATGCATCCATAGGGAACAAAACAACTGCGTGGCCTTAATTGCGGACGTTTTAGCCTTAAGCAGTTACCAAGGCCTAATGCATCCAAGAATACCTGATTAAGATGTAAATAAAGTACAAAAATATACAAATGGATACATATGTTGATATTGAAAACACTATTCAGATGATTATTAGATGTTCTACTTCTAATAAGACACAAAGCACCTCTTGTATACTTCGCAGTATGATATCCCTATGTAGGTCTAGGTTCGCGCCGAAGAAAATTAGGTTTGATCCTAAACAAACAAAACCTTTAAACATAAACAAGCAATGTAGTCGCAACTGCTCAGAGCATCTTACTTTTCATTACTGATAACTTCTAACGAGTATGGAACTCTTGCGCAATTCTCCATAAGTCAGTCTAATAATACCGCGTTGAGTTATACAGACGATTCATAACGAAAGCAGCGATCAGCTATCTTGTATGTGGAGACCATCTTCGTGTACTGATTTAAAGAGTGTACTTCAAAATTACATGCTTCTCTATTGTATTTTTAACTTAACAATTGCCGGTTAACATGTGCGTTACCTAACATGGACTCCAACGAAAAATTACAACCTCAAATGATCAGCTACTTGCGTGAGTCCAGGTGCGACTCAAAAAACCGCCTCGATCCAATTTGAATAGTGCTTCATTCTACATAAGGGTTCACGAATATACTTTTCAGGAATAAAGGAAATTTTAGGAAATAAAGGTTTTGTCATAACATTATTTCCATTATATTGATGTATATAAGGCTGTAATGCTGCCTTTCGGCAGGATGGCTTCAGGTAATTCCTGAATATTTGGATCACCAAGCGTATTCTGAGATTATGTGACAAGCCACTTTGGAAACCATCGGATATATTTTCAATGACAATCTATGCCACGTGTGTGCCTGTGCCACGTGTCACAATGAATAAATAATTATTAAATATATAAATAGATAAAGGGAACGATAAAACATGCTGTAGTACTATTTTCAATAGATTTTAGTATGGCGTTTTTTTGCGCCATGACAATGACTTGATAATCTAGTTCTCTGTTGCTGTGTATTGGTGCAGTGTCGTGATCCCGTCGATGTTTGTACAAGTAAAGTAGCATCTATAAAGGTAGTGCCAGTTCTCTGAGAACACTTAAATATCAACGATAGAGAAAACGGTAAGCAG